ACCCACACCAGTGGTGGGGATGGAGAGCAATCCTCAGCTGTCTTTCCCACAGCGTGAGCTTATCTTTGGAGTGAAGAACTGGGTCATCATATAGTCGGAGGTTTTACAAGAAAACACCATGCTGCAGTTGAAAGAAAAGGTGTAGGAAAGCAGAGCTCTCCTAACTTCAACTTCATTTATTATTGTGCTTATTTCCCTCTGAATATTCCCAAACCAAGCCACCACAACACTGGAAACCAGATTTTAAAGGTGTTTGGATGTCTAAATGCGAGCATAGCTGCTGAAGAAGCATTAAAAATGCTTATGAATCTAAAAGCCAGTGATTTCACTAATTTCTCATCAGCTAAAAATAGTCTCCGTAGACGATTTTTGAATCCAAACAGGTATACTGATGTGCAGCAAAGCATACTGCAGAGCCCAGAAGCTTGAAACACACTTGGTACAGCCACATCCCTGCACCCCACTGAATGACCTGTGCCCTGACAATCCTCTCTTCCTTTGAAATACATCCTTTTTGTGCACAGACATGCAGAAAAAACCTCTTAAAGAGTAGATCTGCCTGAACTTTTCTTATTAAGAAGCTAACCAAGAACACCTGTAGAAAACTGCATTTTAACAGAATGTATAGGAGGTACCCACTATTTTCCCAGAAAGAGAATTCACAGACAAAAGAAGAAAAAAAGACTAATCTGATAAAATGCCAAATACACACAGAGAAAGGAAGACTAGAAGAGCAAGCTTCCCCTACTACTGTAGGCTGAAAGTCCAAACCTCTGATAAGTTGGGCAAACATTACAGAAGTTTGCATCCCCACGCTCATCAAGGTGCATTTAAAAAACAGCTTACTTCTTGCAGGAAGCTAATCCAAAACCTGATTTCTCTGACGATAAAAACTGTCCTCATACCCGACTGTTTTATCTTAAACTCACTATTCAGTCCAAGGATTAGCTGAGTTATGGCCATTCAGCTAACCTGCCTGTCAGCGTCTGTCCGAGCTTCCAGCTGGCTACATTGGAACAAAAACTTTGGTTGCAGTAATGTCGGGAAGATTTATTTCTATGCAGTGTAATAACTGCCATACTGAATGTCACTCTGCAGGGAAGAAACCTTTACCAAATATAAAAATCATATCCAAAAGACAGAATGTATTTTAACTAAGTCATTCTTACAGAACTGATGCTGCAAAAATTACAATTCAAGTTCATTCTCATGTTTCTACAATTACATAGATGACTCAAGATTTGCAAGAGAATACTTAAACCACTCAAGCAGTTCAAGTAAATATAGTGCATTTGTGTGTCTTTACTATTCCTATCAGCATTTGTAGTAGTTACAGATCTAAAAACCATTTTGTCCTGCACTGATGAAGCAAAACGGTCTCTGGTGTCTGTAAAAGCAAAAGGACTGATTCAGGATGGAAAAAGCCTGTTTGAATGGCAAAGAGTACCAAAGAAGGAAGATGGAGAAAAGCGTGAGGAAGAAAGAAAATACAAAATGGCCTCAATTAACATCAGCCTCTGTGCAAGTCAGATATACAAGTTCCTTCTGGTCCTCTTCTAAATTAGAAGAAAACTGCTGAGCTATCAAACACATAGTAATAAAGATCTTCAAAATCTTTGCTGACCTAATTACTTTCACTTGGTTGTACTGCACGTTTCTCATTAGCAAACAATTTGATGAGGTTAAATTCACACTGCTGGCAACTACTGGCACCAGGTCAACTTGTGAACAGAATTGGAGCATTTTTCTTTTCCCTGTCAGTGTCAGGGAAACAGAATTGGTGAATTATAAAAATAAGTGAAACCTGGCGGACTGTGAGAAAGAAATCCAGCATGGTTAAGAGTAATTGTGGGCCAGAGGCTGGAGATTTCCCAGCAGTTTCAGAACTTTTATAAGCTATATATTGGGGTTTTGGTTTTGGGTTTGTTTAGTTTTTGCTGTCTGTTTTTTTAAATAGCATCTTCATTCCGATAAAGGACTTCCTATGTGTTGCTGCGGTAGGGGATGTTGACTCAGGAATTGTAGCTAAAAAAAATTGTAGCAAAACAAACAAACAAAAAAATTGTAGAGAAAACTTTGGCTGGCCTTAGAATAAAAGTTCCCCTACATTATAAACTAGTTTGAAATAGTTAGGGTTGAGCTTATTACAGAAGATGAAGGGACATTTTCCATTCCACATAAGCATGAAATTCTGTAACTGATTTTCAACTGTCTTGCATGCATTCTTATAAAACTGATGATCTTATCATTACTGTTTCATAGTTGAGGTAGTATTTCAAAAGCCCCAAAGCAAGAACCATGAAAGACAGAAGCTCTTATGATGCTCAAATCAATGTCAAGGAGGACAATTCTGCACCTGGATTTATTGTATCATTTCTGATACTGTGGAAAATCTGTTCACAGTTCCACAGTTATGAAAGAATTTTGCAATAAAAGCAAGGATTTGTCTTCTTGACTTTATATGATGGATAAAAGTTATCCTTCCTGAAATGCACTAAAAACTTACTAATACATCTTTTGATTCATTCAAATAAATTATTTGTAAATGGATTCTTTTAAGGCACACATCAGTATCCGATCTGTCACCCAAAAAACCACATACCTCAAAAACTATCTATATACTCAGACTTTAATAAGACTTTCCCACAAGAAATTAAGAGGTAGCTGAGCAAAGATATTACTCATTTTTAATTTTACTATTTTGCTCGGGCACATCCCAATTTAGGCCAACATCTCTGTAAGCAGGACCCTGCACAAAGTGGTCTCACCTGTTTCATATTTTATTTATTAGAGCATTATTATCTAAATGCATTAGGAATAAGAGAAGATGAACTTGTATCAAGAGTTCTTAGCAACAGATGGCTTGGCTGCAGTGTCAGTGCCAGCCAATCATTTCATTCCCACTAGTCCCCATCCTCTTTTCCTACTACTTTTTCCTTTGCTGCTGCTCCCATTTGCTTTCCGCTGCTGTAGCAATGGAAGGATTGTCAGATGGTCATTAGGTTGTCATTTAAGAAGCAAGCAATGCATTCCTTTTCTATTGAGAAAAAATGGGTTATGAGTTGTGTCTTGAATGACTTACTTTATTACTGATTAGTTGGTTCTGAGGAGGATTTCTTCCAGGTAAAGAGTTTAAGATAGCATTATTGCATTGAGTATGTTTCCAGGGAATATTCAATTTCCTTTTTTGTTCTTCTTTAGAGCAATTATCTAAATGTTAATATCTTTTGCTGCTGTAGTTACTTTATTAGATTCTCCTGGCCAAACACCTACACAGGCTAAATGGCAGAACAAGAACGAAGCATCTGCTTTTCTGTTTTTTCTCTTCACACTATGTCACTGAATTTCTGAAGCTGTTTGTGCCTCATTTAAGAAATGGGTAGAGTTCACCACAACGCAAACAAAAACAATTCAGAAATCAATTACTGAATGTTCTCACCAGACATTAGATGGCTGGAAAAAAAAATTCCAGAGTTTTCCTGTTCTTGTGACTGGACAGAGTTATCCATGGTAATTTTTGTTGACTGCTAACTTTTTCATAGTAGCTTTCCACAAAACTAGGCCTTGGAGGTTACCAACTAATCAGAGCTGTGAGTCACAACACCATATGAGGAATGTGCCTCATTAGAGCCACAGCATGAATGGAGATCCTAATGCACAAGGTAAGCAAGGTCAGGGAACACTAGAGCATAAAGTCAAGAAGAACTCCTTTTAAGGATTTTCATGGTGACTAAACTGGGCCTATTCATAGAAAAACCAGCATAAAAGATTTTCCTTGCCCAACTGACAGAAATTTCTTTCCAACACTAGCTGAATTCATCTAAACCAAATACTGACATGACAAAAGCTTTCTGTAAAACTGATTTATAACATAAGCCTTCTAAAATTAATACTCAGGATGAACTTTTTTTCCCCAAATAGGAAGTACTAATACAATATGGGAAACAGACTAAATACTGCCTTTGTCATTAACATAGAAGTGCACTGACAGATGTCACAAAAAATGAAACACATTTTACTCACTGAATACAAATGGCTTTAGAATCACTTTTGCTATAGTACTGCTTAGATTAAAACAGAATCCAGGGAGTCCACTGCACTGATAACATATCAGAGAAATACTTTTCCAAGATCCATGAAGAAAATCTTCCAAAACCAGGAGTCAGTGGGCCAACAGGTTAAGGAACTGGAAAAAGACAGTCATTCTCCTTCTCTTTCTCTACTGTCCTTAGCCTCTTTTTCTCATTTAACTCCTGTTCTCTGCTGCTTTTGAAAGCGACCTAACCATTCTAGTTAAATCATAGTGTTTCCATCTATTCAAGAATTTTAAAAATTATTTTGCTGCACTCCTTTACACTCTTTTTCTTCAATTCACATGCAAATAAGTGTACTCGGATGTTTTTCACAAATACAGTGAGATGCAAGAGCAGTCTATGTACACCCCTTCATTATTTCACTTCATAAGTAATTGATTACTTTGTATACTAGAATTCTGTCTTTATGTGCAACTTCTTAATGAAATATTTACTGAAATACAGAGCTTCATAATCTTTATATACATTGGCAAGAATGCACTCTGTAACCCATATGCACATGTGATGCGAGTATCCAAATATGTTTATGTTCCCATTAGTCTGGTGGCAAGTGGGGAGGAAGACGCTCAGCTTTGAGAAAAACAAGACTATTTTCTAAATCCCAGTCTGTAGATGTTGGGTAAATATGGTATTCCGTAATGTTTAACAATTGTAATACTCCATTTGTGATGTACAACAACCTGGAGGCATTTACAGCTATAACTTTCATGGTAAAGCTATTCTTTAAAAGTAATTTACCAGTGAAGAAATCAAAAAAGTCAAAACCATGAATCTTGGATCTTCTTCAATCATGCACCAAAAAACAACCACCATGCAATGCACTTCAGTTTAAAGATGTTTCATAGAAACTGAGCTGAAAAGCAGATCATGGTAAACTAATCTCAGGAATGTTGGTTTATTACCCACCGTAGTTTCTGGTTGTACTGCTTGACTTTTTCTAGTGAGGCTGCATTAATCTGAGCTTGAAATTCTTCTACTGAGACACTGTCTCTGTAATAATATCCTTCCATGCTCTCCAGTGCTGGGAAAAGGGAAAGGAGAATGGAGAAGAGAAAAAGCAGTATTAAATATTTAGCATTCACCTTCTGTGTAGCTTTGTTCACACACTACTGAATTACTTTTTAACCTTGAGGCTGTGACCCCACTGTGGGTAGCTGAGTTGAGTTACGAACATCGTCAGATTCATACAGCACTCTCTTTAAGATTCCATTTGCAAGAAAAATTGTATTTCTTGCCCTGTGGAAAACAGAAAGGAGAGCACTAGCTTGGGTTCCATTGCTCTAATAAAAGTACTCCTGCCCTGTGAATGTGAATGTGAGTTCTAGTTCTAATACATCCTGTGAGAAAACAGTAGAATGAGCTGGGGTAAAGGAAATAAAAGATCAATATACCAGCTACTTTCACAGAGTAACCTAACCTTTCACCTAACGACTTCTTCAGAGTAACCTTTCACATAACAACTTCTTATGCAGCCTGATGTGGGGAGACGTGGAGCACCTCAACCTCTAGTTATTCCACTGATAATGTCAAATCAAACTTCTCTGTCAAATCAAACTTCTCTGGATCTCCGAAAATGCCCTACAAGCTCATTTCTCAGGAATCAGGTAACTTTCTAAAGTCAAATACTAAACTATGTCCACCTTAGTTGTATTCACTGCACTAAAGCAAGGATGAATATTGCTACAAGAATTCAGGAACTAAACAAAGACTTCCATTAAAGGAAGGACTGTATGTCCTTCTCATACAGTCATTGCACAGAAATTAAAAGAAGGAAGAAATAAATGCACTATGGAAGAAATTCCATTTTGGGATGCTCTTCCCAGCAACAGTGTTAAGAAAAAAAAAACACAAAAAAACAAACAAACAAAAAAAAACAAACAAAAAAAACATTCCCCCAGCCCCTTTACTTTAGATACTCAGGGAAGTTTAACCTTTTCTTTAGCTAAGTCAAATCAGGCATTTGAAATGTTTTCAAGAAACTCTGGACTGGAAAAATCAACATCTTCACATTAAGAGGTTATTATAACATAAAACACAGGCTCCTGGTAAAATCATTATTTAGGGAGAAACATTAAAGATTTTACAATTAGGAACATTGCTACTTTAATAGTCCATACACATTCTAAGAAGTCATCACCCTATCAGAAAATGCAAGCAATAAACAGAGCTCTGATGGAAACATGCTGCTGTCTTACAGCTTGAGCTGCACAAAGAGTATTAATTCTGCTTGTACTGCTTAATATGACCAGTTAATAAATAATTCATTCATTGGAAAAGAACATGCAAATTGAGTTGCACTCCCCTTATGTATTTTTTGAGTTTGTAATTCTACTTTTGTGCAAAAAATATTCAATTTCAACAGTGAGACTTGCTTCTTAACTTCCTTGGGTCTAAGTCACACCAGAAAGCCCATACAAATATATCCACTGAACTCCATTTGTAATAGCATCTTAGTGCAAACAAACTTGATAAACCATAGTGCTTATTTTACTGGCATAAAGTTGGTTTCATCCAATTAGATTACCCAACCAGGAAACTCAGCCATCTGTTGGGACTGGCTGGAGCACACAGTTCTGCCTCTGCAGGCACTGCAGGGGTCATGTTCACAGGCGTTGGCAGTGAGAGCTTTGGCTCTCCTCTTTTGAACGGTTTAACGTTCTTCTACCTAATATATTAGACAAACATGTCTTTTGTGGTATTCTTGAATCCAAGTTAGGATATTATGGTCTGAATGCACAGGCAACTGAATGGGGAAAAAAAACTGGAAGGATGGGTAGGTTCAAAGAGTAGTTAGACAGCAAACTGAACATCAGCATGCAGTGTTGCTACCAAGCTGGCAACCAAGAAGGCCCAGACCATCCTAAATTGTATTGATGTAAGCATGGCCAGTAGACTGAAAGAAGTGCTCGCCCTCACTTTACTTAAATGAACTCATTAGATAGCATCTTAAATACTGTGTCTAGTATTGGGTTCCATAGTATACAAAAGGTGTTGATCAACTGGAGCAACTTGTTGAGCAGAGGTCATCAAGATGGTCATGGGCTGGAGCACACACTGTGAGGAGAGGCTGAGGGACGTGAGCCTGGATTAGAGGCCTCTAGAGGTCCCTTGCAGTCTGAATTATTCTAGTATACTATGAGAAATTTAAAAAATTAAAACCCTAACATTATTAAGAGACTAAGTAGCGATTTAAATTAAATTAAATTTTATTGTTAATGGTTTTTAATTAAGCTTATTTATTGATGAGATCTCAATGCTAATGTAGGAAATAGAGAAATCTGAGCACCAAGAGCGGTATCTCAACATACTTGGAGTATGTTGAGGCCTACAAATCAGGACCCTTTTGAATGCATACACTTAAGCATACTGTTGTACAAAATATTTTTTACAAGTAGATGGATATGTAATTTTAGGCCTGGGTCAACATTTTAAAACTTAAAATGCCTGCACTGTCATTCCTACAAACATATAGAGTTGTAATTTTAGGCATGGAGCTATGCAACACAAAATAAAGTAACACAGAGAGAAACAGACTGATGTTCACTGACGTGTCTCTTGGATAATGCATTCCAAAAACATGATTTTCAAAACACTCCATTTGAAAATATCACTAACCACTGTTTTTTAGGCAGGAAACAGCTTAGCTCTGTTAAGCCTCGGAAGCAAGAATTCACTTCACAGAGAAACTTACAGATTTCTACATTTGTTGCTAATAAATTTCAGTCAAAGATGGGGATCTTAGTTCAATGGCAGCTCAGCCTCACAGAAAAGAAGTAAAAAATAGAACCCTGATTAAACACTAGGATTTAGAATCATAGAATAGTTAGGGTTGGAAAGGATCTTAAGATCATCAAGTTCCAACCCCCCTGCCATGGGCAGGGACACCTTACGCTAAATCAAATCACCCAAGGCCTCGTCCAGCCTGGTCTTGAACACTGCCAGGGATGGAGCATTCACAACCTCCCTGGGAAACCCATTCCAGTGCCTCACCACCCTCACAGGAAAGAATTTCCTTCTTATAGCCAATCTAAACTTCCCCTGTTTAAGTTTTAACCCGTTACCACTTGTCCTATCACTACAGTCCCTAATGAAGAGTCCCTCCCCAGCATCCCTATAGGCCCCCTTCAGATACTGGAAGGCTGCTATGAGGTCTCCACACAGACTTCTCTTCTCCAGGCTGAACAGCCCCAACCTTCTCAGCCTGTCTTCATACAGGAGGTGCTCCAGTGCCCTGATCATCCTCGTGGCCCTTCTCTGGACTTGTTCCACGTCCTTTTTATGTTGAGGACACCAGAACTGCACACAATACTCCAGGTGAGGACTCACAAGAGCAGAGTAGAGGGGCAGGATCAACTCCTTCGACCTGCTGGTCACACTCCTTTTGATGCAGCACAGGATATGGTTGGATTTCTGGGCTGTGAGTGCACACTGCCGGCTCATGTTCAGTTTCTCATCAACCAACACCCCCAAGTCCTTCTCCACAGGGCTGCTCTGAATCTCTTCTCTTCCCAACCTGTAGCTGTGCCTGGGATTGCTCCCACACAGGTGTAGGACCTTGCACTTGGCATGGTTAAACTTCATGAAGTTGGCATCAGCCCACCTCACAAGCGTGTCAAGGTCCCTCTGGATGGCATTCCTTCAACCAAACCACACAGCTTGGTGTCATCAGCAAACTTGCTGAGGGCGCACTCAATCCCACTGTCCATGTCACCAACAAGGATGTAGAACAAGACTGGTCCCAACACCAATCCCTGAGGGACACCACTCGTTACTGGTCTCCAGCCGGACATTGAGCCATTGACCCCAACTCTGCATGTGGCCATCCAGCCAGTTCTTTATCCACTGAGTGGTCCATCCATCAAATTAATGTCGCTCCAATTTAGAGACAAGGATGTCATGCGGGACAGTGTCAAATGCTTTACACAAGTCCAGGTAGATGACATCAACTGCTCTCCCCCTGTCCATCAGTTCTGTAGCCCCATCATAGAAGGCCACCAAATTGCTGAGGCAGGATTTCCCCTTAGTGAAGCCATGCTGGCTGTCACCAAGCACCTTGTTGATTTTCATGTGCCTTAGCATGCCTTCCAGGAGAATCTGCTCCAAGATTTTGCCAGGCACAGAGGTGAGATTGACTGGTCTGTAATTCCCTGGGTCATCCATTTTCCCCTTCTTGAAAATGGGGGTTATATTTCCCTTTTTCCAGTCTTTGGGAACTTCACCTGACTGCCATGATTTTTCAAATATGATGGCCAGCGGCTTCGCAACTTCATTCACCAACTCCTTCAGGACCCGCAGATGGATTTCATCAGGACCCATGGACTTGTGCACGTTCAGATTTTTAAGATGGTCTCGAATCAGATCCTCCCCTACAGTGGGCCCAAGGTCTTCATTCTCACAGTCCCTGCATCTGCCTTCCAAGACTTGGGTGGTGTGGTCAGAGCCTTTGCCAGTGAAGACCGAGGCAAAGAAGTCATTCAGAACCTCAGCCTTCTCCAAATCCTGTGTAGCCAGTTCTCCTGAGAGCTTCCAGAGGGGCCTACATTCTCCCTAGTCTTTCATTTGCTATGTACTTGTACAATCCCTTCCTGTTATCTTTAATACCTCTAGCTAACTTTAATTCTAACTGGGCCTTAGCTTTCCTAACCTGATCCCTAGCTTCCCAGGCAACATCCCTGTACTCTTCCCATGCCACCTGTCCTTGCTTCCACCTTTTATAAGCCTCTTTTTTCCTCTGAATTTTCCTCAGGAGCTCCTTATCCATCCAAGGAGGTCTCCTGGCCCTCCTGCTGCACTTCCTTCCGGTTGGGATGCAACACTCCTGAGCTTGTAGCAGGTGATCCTTGAATATTAACCATGAGTCTTGGGCCCCCCTGCCCTCTAGGGCTATATCCCATGGAACCTTACTAAGCAGGTTCTTGAAGAGGCCAAAGTCTGCTCTTTTGAAGTCCAGGGCAGTGAGCTTGCTGCACGCTCTTCTCACTGTCCTGAGGATCTCAAATTTGAGCATCTCATGATCGCTGCATCCAAGGCTGCCCTGGAGCATCACATTTCCAACGAGCCCTTCCCTGTTGGTGAGCACGAGGTCAAGCATGGCACCTCTCCTTGTCGGCTCCTCTGTTACTTGCAGAAGGAAGTTGTTTTCTACACAATCAAGGAACCTCCTGGATTGCTTGTGCCGGGCCGTACCGTCCTTCCAACAGATGTCAGGGTGGTTGAAGTCACACATGAGAACAAGGGCCTGCGAGTGAGGCTTTTCCTATCTGTCTGTAGAGTGCTTCATCCACAGGTTCTCCTTGATCAGGCGGTCTGTACAGATCCCCCCAGTAGTGTCTCCCATAGCTGTTCTCCCTTTAACCCTGACCCACAAACTCTCTGTTAACTGCTCACCTGCCTTCAGACAGAGTTCCATACTCTCCAGCCTATCCCTAACATAAAGGGCAACTCCCCCTCCCCGCCTGCCAGGCCTGTCCTTCCTAAAGAGCCTGTAACCTTCCATTCCAACACTCCAGTCACAGGAGCCATCCCACCATGTTTCTGCGATGCCTATTATATCATACCCCCATAGTTGTGCACACATCTCTAATTCCTCTTATTTGTTCCCCATGCTACGGGCATTTCTATAGAGGCATCTGAGCCGAGCTCCAAATGAAGCCAGCTCACTGGCTGGAGCAGCTGCGATATCTCTACACTGCTCCAGGCATTTATTATAGGTTCTGGCAACTGACTGGGTGTGTTGGAATGGAATGATGCCCCCCTCTCCCAACACATCTAGTTTAAAGCCTCCTTGACCAGTCTGGCAAGCCTCCTACCAAAACTGCTCTTCCCCTTCTTTATCAGACCAGCTTCACCAGCCCCCACTAGACCTGGCCTACAAACTTGGGTCCCGTGTTCAAGACACCCAAACCCCTGACTATGACACCTCCCTTTTAACCATTTATTAACCTGGCCAATCCTCCTAGCTTTTTTTAGGTCCTCCCCTGTATCCTGGAGAATTGATGAAAAGACATCTGAGCTCCAGAGCCCCTAACCACCTCTCCCAGGGCTCTGTAGTCCTTCTTTATGTTCCCCACGCTACTACTGTCTATATCCCTAGCACCCACACGTATCACCAGGAGTGGGTAATAGTCCGTGGGACTTACTAGAGCAGGCAGCCTCTCTGCCACATCCCTGATCCGTGCCCCCGGTAGGCAACACACCTCCCTTGAGACGGGGTCTGGACGCCAGACAAGTGCTTCTGTCCTTTTCAGTGTAGAGTCCCCTACTACTACAACCCGCTGCTTATCCAGGATTTCTTCTTACCCAGGATTTCTTATTCTTGGAGTATAATGGACATTTTGGAGGGGGATCGTTGAAACTCAAAAACATTTTGTTTGAGGAAGAAAGAAAAAATATTCTGTAACACTGAAAATTATTAAGCAGATATAACATCTGAAAGAATCTTTGCTCTTTTCCTTTAGCTGACTGCAAAGATGCTTATCCTAAGACTCAAATATTTGGGGCTTCTGGAAACAGAAAAGGAAAAAAATCTGCAAAATCAATTCTGTAGCATGCTGCATTCCCTCCCAAATCTAAAAAAAAAATAAAAAAAAATGTTTCCAGGATTTCATCTGAACCAAGGTTATTTTCTGTTCTTTTTCATGAGCCTTTTTGTCTCCTTTACTGAAACGTGTCTCCTGCTCCGTATTCTCATTTCCCACTATGACTGAAAACAATCTGCTCAAAAGAAATCAACTGAAGTCGGACTTTACATTAGTTTGTTAAAAAAAAACAGACTCCATGGATCTTACTTTTAACGAACCATATGCTTGAGTTTACAGTAAGTTTGGCTATTTCTTCTTTGTGTATTTTACTGTTTGCTATTTCCTTCTACATCCTCCTTGTCTATCAGAGACTAAACCCTCCTCAAAACCTTAATTTGTATGCTGACTTCTCCCTGTTCCACACAGACCCAGGAAGTAAGGTCTGAAGTACTTTCAGCTCCTTCCAAAATCAAAGGCAGGTCAAGGCAGTCAGCACTTCACATTCACGATTTCAGTGAATCAAACTCCATGCTCCTGATGACTATAATGACACTGCAGCGAATGCAAGCTGACCGCAACTTATGAACTCTGAGCATCCGCACCACCATTTATCACTTCAGTAACATCTGCAGTCATAACTACAAAAACCTGAAAACGTTACTGAAGTCTTCATAACATTCTAAAGAGACAGAAATCTCACCGGGTAACAATTTAGTCCTTAAACTTGAAGTAACAGGAAAAGTTCATGATAGCGTTTGGAATGCAAAACAGTTTTAAAAGCAAGTTTCATGGTCTAAATATTGCCCACTAATGTCTACAAAGAAAAAACAATATTGATGAAAGAAGAGTCATACTCTGGTGTTGGAATCGTATAACAGGCATAAACTGATAAATGTATACACCTGCCTTTATTTTTTAATCACAAATCTCAGCAAATTCGTATTTTAATTCAAAGTTCTCAGTAAATGCCCACATTAAAAAACATATTTAAATATAAGCATTGTACCCTTATAGTTACAAAGAATTTAAATCAGAGTGATTAAGTAGAGTTTTAAAGAGCATTAAATATTATGTGAAAGAACTGGGAGGATTAAAATTCAAATTACCTTGTGAAAAAAGTACTGGGTGGATTTTAAATCCCCCTCCATTCTTCAGCCTTTGAGGAAGCTGTTCAAAATGGTAACTATCAAGGTAGAAGTAGACCTTCAGGGTCTGCCGGTTTCCTTCTGCTTGGTACGTTATCGGTACATCTAAGAATACAATCAGTGTTACTATTTCATTAAAAGCAATGACACATCCTTTTCCAGAAGCTGTTAGATAAAAATCACTGCAGACGCAAAACTAGTAGGTGCAGTATTTTACACTATCCTCAGTGTTGCTGTGGTCACTTCTGGCCTACCCATTATCAGAAAGTAGATAAACAGAAAAGCAGCGACTGTCATCTTTGCCAGCCTGTCAATGACAGCAAAAGTACTAAGAAAGTAATGTTGTTGGCAACATGCTACTTGTATTCCCTGTAATTCTGAAGAAACATCTATGCACACAGTTTAAAATCACTGCAAGGGTACCTTTATCCATATTTCACAAGTCTTCCTCTGGTGCATGATAGTTTGATATACAGTCAGATTTTCCTCAGACTTGTGTTGAACAGGCCACAAGTAAATATACAGTAGCTAACAGCATATTCATTAAACTATTATTAAAAATCAAGACTCAACTAAGAAAACCAATGTGTTATGGCAGAATAGATAAAATTGGAAGAGCATATTTCACTACACTTTGACAAGCTAAATGTCATAACACACCAACTGGTGTAGAGTTCAGGGCAACTAAAGGAATCATTTTGCTGTTACAGTTATTCCCCAGCATACATTAAGTGTATTATGCGAGATGACTAACATGTGATGAGCTTTAGCATAAGCTGATGAAAATTTTCCATTTAGCTGAATCTCTCAGAGGAAGTCAGTTTATTTCAATTTAAGCTTTGTATATATTTCCTGTTTAAGTTTCTATTCATAGGTCTCCAAGCTGAAAGCAATAACAATAAAATTTAGTGATTTGCATTAATAAAATTGTTATGAAGTTTTTACACTGTGTGCATAAATTATCTTATACCTAAAAGGAAAAGATTAAAAAAAACCCCACCCAAATTTCTCACAATTTTTTCTAATAAGACTTATTTTCTTTTATTAATTATGCAGAATCATAAATGGGAAAAAAAACCTAATTTACCAGTTCCTAGTCTTATGTAACCACAGTCAGGATTAATAAACCAAATAAGGAAACAAATAAAAAGGAAAGACGGGATTTATCACAATCCTAGAACACACAGACTTTCATTTATCTCTGTTTTAGCACAGACACCTCAGTTGGAAGATTTAGCAATAAGAATAGTTCATAACATAGGCATAGGGTTAAATCCCCATCAAGAGGCCCTGTAACTCTGGTTCCATTCTATTACCTGGCTTGGCAGGGTTTCTTTTGAAAACAAACACATGGTTCTTACTTGAATTATACAGAAATATATATGGTCCTGTATACGCTAATTCCAACCTGACTACCAGCTCTGCACTACTGAATTCCTTAGAGCACAGGCAGCACTGTGGAGGAGCTTCGTGTGTTCTGGTTTTGGTTACTGCAGAAGTTCTCTCATGTGTGGTCTCAATGCGGCAAGGGAATTGCTTTGGAAAAGCTTGATGTGAAGCAGACATGCTTTCCTCCCTTCCCAGGGGAGTTACAAGACTCAGGGAAAAATGAGGGCTTTCTGCTCACTAAACAAAGTTCACTGCAGGAAAATCTCTACTGGCTGAAAACATATTAATAAAGGAGTGGCAGAAAACAAGTGAAGGGTATAAACAGAAGAATGCAAAGACACACTTCCTGTGAGCTGCACAAACATTGTGAGACAGGGTTCAGGACCCTGATCGTCTGCACCACCATGTTTTCCAAGAGGAAGTTACTTGCATAATTCAAAGCTATCCTAATGCTGTTTGCCATCTCCTTTCAAGGAACTCTTCCAAGATCTACTTTGTCTTTCAGATGAGAAAACAAAATGGTTTTTACGCTTCTCCACATCAGCTTAATGGCACTTCTCTTTTAAGACCTTCAAGCTTATTTTGCACATAACTCTTCAATAACAACTAGATCTTCCAGGGACTTTCCTGATGCAGTCACATACTCCCAAATGGGAAATTCAGTTAAGCAAACAGTTTTGACCCCCAAGGTCACTGACATTACCAGATATCGATTCTGCATTGTCACTGATGTTAGTTGTATTTCAGGACATCTAGGAATATTAGGAGCACTACAGATTTAATAATTCTCCATAATCCCAAATCACATAATATTCCCTGTGGGAAGGTAATGTTCCAAGAGTAAAATGTTACAAATACAGAAAATGTTTCTGAACTATAAAGACCAGATATTAATTATAGGTACTCACTTGCAACTAGGGGTTCTGGCTCTGACTGTCTGAAATAAAAAGTAACTTTTTCCAAGTCAAACAGCGCAACCAGTGTATCTTCTAGCATGGCTTGCTCATCAGCCTAAAAAAGGCAAAAGTGAAATGGTCATTTCAGCCAGATGTTTTCCCTACCGGAAACAATGAGAGCAGGACATAAAAGTAATTACAAAATGTTGCACAACTTTTCACTACTACACTCCTAGAAATTGTAATTATCTTTGTTTCTACTGGTATTTTATTCATGTATTACTAGTCCAAGATCATTAAAATGAATGTTATCATTTCACATACTAAATTAATAGGCAATATATATCTACCATTACTTCTCATGGCTTTTATAATCAAACAATCCTGCAATTATTCTTTACATAAGACACCAGATTTCAACCCCTTGTCTTGACAGCAGGTCTAGCTTGTAAATTAACGGGAAATGCAAAAAAAAATTCTTCCTTTTCACAATTTTCTTTAAAAAAAAATCCATACCATTAGCATTTCATTTATGAACAACAGATGAGAGTTCATTGTGTCCACTCTAAGCACCAGTAACTGAACCAGTAGCTCAGAATGACTACAGCTCACGGTGACTTGCACCTTTACCTACAAAACTTTAGATGCAAACCAAGTATGCAGATATGCCAATATTCTGATTTGCACATGTGGTTCACTGTGCACTCCTGAGCTAAATGGAGAAATCCAGAATAACAAAAAAAAAAAAAAAAAGCTTCCAGAAGTAAATTACTAATTTCTCAGGACACTTCACTGAACTTTTGAAAAGGAAAATACTAATCTGCAAGTACAGTTATCTTGAGTCAAATATGTGGAGCAATTACAGCAGAAGTCAATAATCACTTGAAGCAACACTGTTCTTCATACAGCTCTCCCCTAGCACCCGAAGCTTGCAGGAGCCAAATGGAAATCTGAGGCATGCAGTTTTCCTCCTCTAAGAACTCGAAAAGGAGGAAGGCAAAGACTAACAAACTAACTGCATATAAAACGAGAATAAACTATAGCTTGCTGAATTACAGAGAGACAAAAAAATCCCACATGATTTTTCCGGATCAATAGACAGAAATAGCATTCCTCCTTGTATTTATGAAAAAGCAAATCTGCTAGAAATATTTTGACTCCTGGTTCAATTCATGAAGTCTCTGTGGAGAGAGCAGTTTTATCAGCAGAATAGCCTGAAAACCATTCAGTGACATGGGAAATCTTTACACAACTGCTCATTCTTCCCTGAACTATGGCCATAATGAGTACAATTTCCTTCAAATACCTTTGTCTAAAATAACACGGATCATTTGTAAGCAAAATAGTGCTGAGAAGGTATTGAAAAAGTTGCCTTTAAATACTTTTCCCCTGGCTAAGAAAAGTTGGACTAAATTAAATTCTATTTCCAATTCAATAATGCATACTGCTGGTATTACATCCGATTACATAAAGACAGCTCGATAGCATGCATTTTCACAACAAAGAAAATATCTACAAACTCAAAAGAAAAATGCATAAGTATTCAGTTCTGTAAAGACAACAGTTATTTTGTGATGACAACTAAGCACATGGAAAAACCTAAGACAGGAACCACTTAAATTTACTCTTGAACTCTGAGAACCAGTACGTGTTGCTGCTCTATGGTGCTAACAGCACTCAGGACCAAAGACATGAGCCCAGGCTCCCCTGGCCATTCGTTCTTCACATACTTGTCATGTAGATAAAGAACCCTCCTGTTTCTTTCAGGTACTGACTTGATCTGTTTTTAATCTGCACATCTCGTCCTGACATACCCTGTCCCACACAAACCCACGTATATACCTGAACTACCTGTGAGTTGCTCACACTAGCTCAAGTCAATGCTCTCCACAAATGCCACAGACTAAAAAACTTTATGATTTAGAAATAACTTTATTTTGGAAATACCTGTATTTTTATTCTCTTCTGATATTAAAGTTTATCAGGTCAGCAATTTGCTGACAATATAACAAGGCAAGGAAGGAAGACCTCTGGCACTAAGGAACATCATCTGTTATCTGCACGGATTTCTATATATTATAATGTATGAAATCAGTTGTTTGCAGTGAGCAACTCCAGAGGTTGAGAAGACTGCCACAGAGCAGACCATACAGACTGCTTCACAGTTCTTGAGGTTAGCAGGAACTTGTCTAGTGTGAGAAGAGCTTAAATAGCTGAAGAAGCACTTTAGATAACCAGGGATTAAAGGGCTACAAAGCCATGCCCCTGTTTTAACTGTTTCTTAAGCCATGGCTCTTCCCCAAGCCTTGTAAAGAAATAGCAGACTTCCAATCCCTCTGACAGGCTATGGGAATTTGCCCCATGACAGAAGCAAAACAGACAAGCATATTTAGTTCTTCAGCTACTACAGACCTGTTGGGTTTTGGGTGAGGGAGTGATGAAATTATCCAAACCAGGTGTTTTATTTATCTTGCATTTCTGCTTATTACAAACTGATGTTCTTGTTATCACCTAATACTACATTGCCTCCTAGGGAACAACTACAGTAACAGTGGGAAGTCAAGGGTAAACTCTCTGCTAACAAAACAAACACAATAATATCTTAATGGAAAACATATTTCCCATATCACAAACAAAACATTTCCCATATCTGTAATTATCTAAATCACTTTTTTTTTTCCAAATAGCAGCTAATTAAGCAACAAGCTAAGCACTAAGGACACTGAAAATCACATTTATAACTAAGACTGTTTAACCATGCCCCTGGTTCAGGGAACAAACACGGGCTGTGACCAAGCATGTCACACGAGGGCTCTTACCAGGTTAGGTGAAAGCAGGGACTGGAAATGAAGGAGAAGACCTGCACTCGCTATTTGTTCCAACCACCTTCTGCTGGCCTCCAGCGTCTCCATTTCATATTCTTTGTTGTTATCAAACATCTGATTTAAGGCCACCATTAGCTGCTCTGAAAAAGCACAGACTGTGGCTACTAGGCTCTGGCAGAAGACCATGTCTCGTCTCAGTTGTATCTCACTATCTGTTATGGGTAAAAGCCAAAAGAGGAAAAGCAAAAATGGAGCATAAAATTAATTAACAGCAAAGGAACTGGGCTGGAATTCTTTTCTTTGTTGAAAAAACAAGTCTTTTTAATGTAAAGTAAATTACAAGTTTACAGCCTAATGTTATTCCCAGTAAATAGCACTCCATGACCAAAACTACCATTTTCCACATTAAAGGATTATTTTACAATTCTAAAATTACACAGAAATCCATTTAAAAACTGGAATTTAAAATAGTTCTCCATAAACAATGTGTGTTTATTTTCTAGTTGTTAATGTATATGCCATTGATACTATGTACTTTGGATGTTACAAGATGACAGATGTGAGTCGGATCTCTTTGCTGCAATGTGAAAACCAGCTGGGCACAAAACCATTTACTTTTCAGAGGAAAGCAAGGCTAGTCAGAAGCTCTTAATATGACTGAATCACCCGGTCAACTCCACAGCTACCAGCTGAGTAGGGCAGATGAAGACTGCCTGCTCTAAACTGGAAACAAGGCATACAGTAGTGTTGCTACCAGAACCACAATCAATCCAAACATAATGTATATATGAATGTGAAACCTATAAAATAAGCACAGAGCAGCATCACATACCCAGGAAGCAGCAGAGATTTATGGTGTCAGGAAAGTCCAGGACAGGTCCCTAAGTAGAAGTCTATGGAATCATTAGCAGCTGATTTAATATACAGACTAGCTAACCTACCAATTTATTCTGGAGGGCACAGGCATTACATTAGCTAAAGGTCAAAAGAGTTAGAAAGGAAAACATGTTCTCAATAAAGCACAGAATTGTGGTGATAAATATTCAGTACTTCCTTCTTCCCCTCTTTCCTGAAGGTCTTCAAGTATTTTTATCATTAGGAGCTGTTAGGCAAGCATCAATCAGAAATGGTACAGGTAGACTTAATCTTTCTCAGAGCAAGAGAAGATAAGGTGATATTGAGGTCTTTCCAAAACCTAAAATCTTTGCCCTCACTTTGTGATTCCTCTGCCTCTAGGAGGCTTGGTTCCTTTGCTGCCTTCTCCAAGGAGCTGGCAAGACTTTATATGACTGGGCAAGTCAGCAGACATAATTCTGTACTCACAAAACTAATACTGATTTTAAAAATATGCTTTTCTTGGACTCAACTGTTTCTCAAAGCAACTCCATTCTGTCTGTTTTCCTCCTGAGATCTTCAATCTTTTCCTCTACTATTGATAACAGTGACCACTCTTTTATTATCATTTTGATCTCATTTGCCAGCCTCTCAGAAATTCAAGAATATTTGCCATAAACTCTCTAACCACTACTGCTTCTGCACTACGACTCACTGCTTTCTGTTTTGATTATTGAAAATTAACCCCTCTCTTCAACCTCTGAAGTTGTGCAGAATCCACTAACGACAGAATTTGCATCTTTGAAACCTCCACCCATCTCCAGCTTCAAAAACCCCACTGGCTTCTCCATGGTCAAAAACTTTCCAATGTCACAGCAGTGCTCAGGGATTTGAGCCCAACACACATTTTCTCTCCTCACTTTGCTCAATTTTATCCCTATTTGTCTAACAGCAGCTGACTTTCAGTGCCTTCCTGTTCTTCCTGCTTCTGAAGCAGCCCTCTTGTGTCTCCAGCACCTCATTTAATACTACTTGAACATCAGATACTGCATACAAGAGCACTTTGGGCTCTTTTTACAAAAGGATTATTATAGAAAATAAATAACAGAATTTACAGTCTTATAAAACCATGTAAACAGGGAAAATTACTTTAAAAGAAAAAATGAAGTCCGAGGTATTTTCTTAGGTCATTTCTTATTTTAGAACACCTGAGAAATTATTAAGAACTTTTATGATATTAGGAAGAAATCTGACAGTCTTTTACAGTCAAATGTGACTGGTTAGTTGAACACTTATGCACCTGCAAACAGTAGAGAATCTGCTGCCATAAGTATTTTTCTTTAAATACTGATTTACTGGTATTTATTTTGCAGACAAACGTGACAATTTTGTGTATTTGAACCTGTATCCTTTTTTGGGGTGATGCTAGAATAATATACAGAATAATCAGACCCCTTCCAAAAAGGAGAGACTTAAAAAATATATATTCTCAAAAAAAAAAAAAAAAGAAAGGTTTGAGTTACAATAGTAAGGTAAGCATGAACATAGAGAGATGGAGATAGAAAAGAAAAAAGATAGCAAATAGGAAAAAGCACAACAGAAGAAAGACAGCAGAAGCAGTGTGCACAAGCTCAGTGATAGTAGTTACTTCATCTGCCAAGATCCACAGTAAATGACATGGGAAGGTATTTTTGCATTAAAAAACTAAAAGAATGTGCAATATTTGGTAGAAATATCTTTGGAATTGCTGTATTCTTCAGGAATCCTCACTGTAAACATAAGGGTAAAGTTGTTGATTATCAGGTTATCGCATCTCAGATTTTTGCTCTTTCACTAAACACAGTATTCTGTCCAAAAGCAGAAAACCGCAAACCTCAAACCATTCCCCACTTCCCCCATTCCCAAAAAAGCAAAATTACCTGTATATTCAAGAAGGGCCAAAAGGATTCGTGCCTTCACCTCTTAAAGAAAAAAAAAAAAGTAACATTGAGGATTGAAGTCATGGTTAAAAGTGTTTTCACAATAATAATTTCATACCAGCCTTAAGTCCAACTTCCTGCATAGGCAACCCGGATTTATACCTACAAAACAGTAATGAGTCTCAGCCTCACTTAATTTTACATGATTTAATAAAATTGACAATAATCAAATGCACGAAGAGGCAGCTATTACCTCAGAGCCCATGCAGCTAGCCAGTGGAAGTCCATATATGAAGAATTCCACTCTTAAAATTGATTCCCACACTACCCCAATTCTTTCCTTTTTTGTTTTCCCTCTCCTTTCCATTATCCTCATTTCAATATATACCAATGCATCCAGGAAAAAAATCAACCACCACTTCACTTTATTCTCAGCCTTCAGGATTTTATTTTGCTTCATTTCTTTTCACTTAATCTTTTTTTAAAAAAAAGTCTTAATTTACACTGACAAAAATTTGGTTTTATACCTCTTTACTTTCTTTTTTTTTAATTATTTTTGCTTTTACTTTCATTTTTAGGGGCTTAAAGTACGAAGGCTGAAGGAAATGATTCTTCCCCTCTACCACATACAAGACAGAGCACAAATCTAAATGAGTTAAAACCACCACAACAAGGAACTGGCAGATTAAAGACCTGCCATAACCTTAGAGAATGTCAAACATCCAGCACATCAGCTGTCCTACAGTAACCGCCTGAAGGAATACTCTGCTACTTCACATCCTTTTGCATCTTTCCAAACTTTATTTTACACACCCAATTTTCCGTGCAGCCCTATTTCAAGCCCTTCTCAGTGGGCCAGTAGAGCTGCTATAGGGTATATGGACATAGGAAAATTTTGTTATATGATGCCCCCTACTAAAAACAACCTTATAATAAGCCTGAAACCTGAATTGTTTGAAATTTGACTACAAATCAGGTGATGGAACTGACATTGGAGCTGACAGTATCAACAGTACAGTCTGAATTCTGTGTGTACTTGAGCGTATCTATGAAAAGCCAGAATCTTTCCCAAAGGTGAGTATGCTTAAAAACAGAAGAAAACTCTTCAAGCCTAATCTTCATCCATGCTATACACACATTCTGAAAAGAACTGGCAGTGCCTATGCTTCTGAAAAGCATGCCCTCGGTATCTCAAATACAAGCATCAAAACACCTTAAATTACTGGTTATTCTTAAAAATTGCTGGGAGATGGGTCTTTCCTTAGCCTTCTGTCTTTTGGGGAAAACGCAAAACCAAACAAACACAAAACCCCACTTACAGAGATTTATAATATGGCATCTTGGAGTCTGAACGTAGCTTAGTAACTGAAAATACTAATTTCTATAGAGAAATACAGCTTTTCTCTGAAGAATTTAGATACACTGAGGCTATAACCTGCAGTTTGATTTACATCAGATTTGTTGGACCTCTAAATTCAAAGGCATTTGAGGTATCTATAAATAATGACTTCCTGCTTATGGGAAAATTACAGAACACTGTAGCTCTTCTTTATCATTGCAGTAAGTCTTCTCCATTTCAAAATATACCCACAGGCAAAACAGTATTTTTAGGTTATTTGTGTAAGTAGAGATTTACCTGGGGTTGGATGTCAGTTATTTGCTTTTCAACAAATTCAAAATACAATGGAAATTTTCACCCCTTCTTGCTACATGGGAAAGGAATAGCTACCTAACAATTTCATTTTAGGTTATATGATTTGTAATTTAAGATGCCTTCAATTTCTTTTAGTCCTAAACATTCTTTTGGGTTTGTTTGTTTGTTTTTTTAATCATGTTATTCTGCTATTCTAATCCTCTGCCAGTAAAGGCTACATTTAATTTTATTTTGTTTTATGCATCTGAAAGTATTTCCAAAATAAGACTGAGATTTGCACTGCATGTTTTATGATTTAAGTTGAAATATATTTTTTATACCTGTAATCACTGAAAGGGTGCTTCACTCCTCACTTTTAAGTTAAAATAGATGTGAATTTTCTCAATTGCACAGTTATTTCCTCTTTAAAATTACTGTGCGAGCAAAATACTGCCCTTCCTCATGCAGTTATGTGATTAGCTGACTAGAAATCTGACTTGCTGTAAAAAAAAAAAACTCTTTTGACACCAAATCTTACCTTTTATTCTTTAGGAAGAAGCAACTACAGAAATTTCTCCTCCTTTTTGTTCACTTATACCCTTGTGTTGTTACAGCCAGTTTTGGTAACACTTTCCTTCTGAAGGGTCCCTTTCTTTCCAAACATCTTTCATGTTCTCCAGGTTGCTACTCAAGTCATTCTTCAGCTTTTCTTCTAGTACTTTCTGATTCTCATGTTACATATCTCGTGTACATCCAGAATCCTGTACTTACATTCTTTCTCTGTTTGGTGACCACTGAATTCCTCCCCTAACTACTGCTCTCTCCTGCACCAAACCTTACTTCATGCTCGTCTGATTTCAGCTAGATCCAGCTGGTGGTTGTATCTCAAGTTTAATTTATCCAGGGTACAAATTTAATATAGAAACTTGTATATTAAAATATAAATTTTATCTGTTATATATTATACATTTATATATATAATATATAAATTTATATATTAAAATATAAATTGTAAAATATATATAATCTATACAGGCCAAAGCCTTTTCAAATCACAGCAGTCTATCAAAACTGACTGAGGGACACATTTCTGCCCTGAATCTTTGCAACACTGAATTCATATACCTGTCCAGACATGTCTTGGAAACTAATGCTTGAGAAGCAATTATTCATTTCCATTCTTTTACTTCTCCCATTTAAGCTATTTGTGCCAGGGAAATCATAAGGCACAAATAGCAAGGCTTTCAGGTATCCACTACCTCACACCAACTCCTTGGTCCAACAGGCCAATTAAAATTTCAATGAAGATGCGGAACACGATTCTCCAGAGTACCTCTCAGGACCAAGTATTACTGATATCAGTTTGGGGGGGTGGTGTGGAATAGGAATCAAATAAAAACAAAAAACAACAAGAGAGTAGAGAGCTGTAAAGACTAATGGAGAATAAACAACCTAAGATGGTAATTTTACATGTAAACCCATGTATTTGGTTAAGGAAATGGCACAGAAGACAGAAATCTCTGACAAAAGCTCAAATGCTATAGATGGAATGGGAGAGCCAAGAATATGTAAAACTGGCAGACAACTTCTTAGACAGTGATGAAAGACAGTAAGACAAAGCTTGTGCTGTCCTTGAACAGCACAAGACTAATGCCTTTTACTATTTAGCTCTCTGAATCATGCACCATTGACAAGCATGACAGTTGCAATAAACTTAATTACTGTCATTTATTAACAGAGAAAACCTTTTTAATCCTAATTTCAAAAATACTAGATAATGCCTATACTATTACTGTTCTGTGAACATCAAGATTCCTTCCGATAAATACCACCATTACATTAGAGACATATTATAAAAATTGGAGTTTTGTATTTTACAGAGGCAGCAAGCCATTTGGACCTTCTTGAACTCTCCCACAATACCACAATATTCTGTTGTAGATTTCAACCCAAATTTATCCGAATAACCTCAGCTCAATATTAAGGGTATATGACCAATATTGAAATGGGTTAAGTCTATTCTATTTACGGGCAAAGAAGTTATGTGAAACCAGCCTGCTAGGCTTGCCTTTGCAAGAAGGGCAATGACTGTTAAAGACACATTTCTATTCCTCCTGAACTGGGAAAGAAACCATGATTAACACTTGAATATAATTTCATTTAGGCTGAAGATAGACCCATATTAAAAAGGACCTGAAAATATTTATTCATTTTTCACTTAGTGACAGCCACCATGAAACTAAAAGAAGAATTCTTAGTATTTGAGTGTCAACCCACTCTGATTGACTCAAAAAGCAGGAGATTTTTTTGTGGTTGTTTTTATAATTTTCTAACCCAGGGTCTTAAAATATGATTGTATCTGAAATGAGAAACACCAAAAGTCAGAGAAGGAGAAGTTTGTTTGCTTTGGACAGTTGGTTTGTGGAGGTTTATCTTACTGAAGCTATCACAAAGTTCTTTTCCAGATCTGAAATTCAGCAGTTTCTCCATGGGACACCATGAAAACTAGCGAACAAAACAAAAGCAACTACACATACACACAGATCATTTAAAGCTAGACATGACACAAGTTTTTCTTCCCATGTAGAGTCCTAGTGAAAATAGTTTTATAAAAATAATTTTGCTCATTATTTCTGTTTCTCTATCAAACAGCACAGGAAATAAAGCAGAAGCTACAGGCAAGATTTTCTGGAGATGAAACCCCAGTTACTTTATTATCAAGCCAGGAGAGAGAATAGAAAAACCCAGATCACATTGTCACTTGGTGGTGAAGAGGAGCAGACTACTAGGCAATATTTAGGGAGGGAGGGGGAGTGATAGGACCAATTGTGATGGAGCAAGCGAAAACCAGTGCAAGAGGTTTGGCTTCATGACAGAATAAAGCATGATCTTAGGAGGATAATGATTCCATATCAGTGACAGATAAGATATGACAAAAGCTGTCCTGTAGAGTCTTCATCTTCCAGTCAAGACAGCACAAGAAAGTGAGTTTAATCTCAAGGAAAGCCCATTTTGGTAAATCAACCCCATGAAGTTCTGTGACAAACCAGTTAAGCCCACCACACTAGCAGCAATTGAAATAATATAGCACATGCTACATTGGTTTTCACTTGTCAGAAGAGACAATTTTCTCTTTGGTATCCAAAGCCAACAGGGTGAGCATGAGACAGCTGATATATACTCCACTAACTTTGCTATTAAGAACACAAAAAAGTCCTGAAATTCAGATGTTCCCCATAGACTACACTGTGTTCAGCAAAGTTTGCCGAGCAGCAACATGAAGCAGTTGTATCTTTCCCCTTCCCCAGGCTTTCTATCGTTAATGAAGTGTTTATTTATGGTCACATTGCTCTTACTAACCTTCAACAAATTTTCTGATATTCTGGGCAAGACTCCGGACGCTGCTGGGCAGGTTCCAAGGGTCTTGCTTGATGTGGAGTCGTAGTCTCTTTGGACAGTTAAGCTTTGGTTCTACTTCCTGCTGAAACTCTAAAGAAGGACAAAAATAATATTTTTCTGCTGAACCCTCCTGAGAAAGCCACAGTAAGACATTTTTTTCTTAAATATTTTCACAGCTCAAGTAGTTGTCAACTTATTTAACTCTAGTTAAAACTACTGTGATAGGTCTACAGTCATCTAAGCTCCCTACTTACTCAAAAGGAGCATTCCCAAACATGGTACTTCTGAACCAGGTATGCAAGATAGAAAGAGCCTTTCAGTAGCAAAACTAATTTAATCAGAGAATAAATTAATAAGAGAGAGAGAAAAAAATAAAGAGAGAATCAAGAAAAAGAGGAGGGTATGTGATCTTCCATACAAATTCAGTGAGGAGGAAGTACTTCAGGCTTTGTAAAACCAGATAATTGAGATAAAGTAATTCTGCTCTGTTGACTTCAGTGGGACTTTGGTGGTTTATAAAAGCCAAAGATGCACTCTCTCGCTATCTAAAATTAGTTTTCTTTGCCAAAAACACACATGCAAGATCAATAAAATAATGATCAAACCTATTATACATATTAAAAGAAACCAACAAACCAAACAACAAAAAAAAACCCACCGAAACACTGAACAACAAAACCCAACCAAAACCAAAGAAAACTCAGTTCACTGAAAAGTCCTTTGCATTTTTCATCACAATCTTACCACCAGATACCTATTTATACATTTCGAATTTTGCAATTACATGAGTGTGAGAGGGGTACCTGAAATTACAGGATTTTTTTTTAAGCAATTAATAACACATAAACATATTTGGCAGAAATATTACTATGAATAAAAATTTACATTTGCAAATTACTTATAAGTCAACTTCACAATATACCTACAGAGAATAATAAAAAACTGACACTAGTAATGAAATAGATCAGAAATGGCTTCAGTAGTTGAGACAAAAATTTAAAGAAAACACCTGCAATATATAAAACCTGTTTTTTGCTTCAAAAACCTGTGTAATTCCATAGTCACCTCAGAATCTAACTAAAGTTCATGTTCAAACAAACCTGTAGTTTTTTCATATGTTGTGCAACAAAAGTATAAGAAGCTAGTTTCCAACTAAGACCTATTTAACAAGAATTTCAACAATCAATTACTGCAGAATAGGCCAAGATCAAGCAAAATCACTTCCTTAACACCCAGCTCAATGAGTACATAGCCATATCCATGTACCCTTCAAGCTACCTTTTGATTCTCATAGATAGAATTAAATGTTACCTTGGAGGCCTCGACCTGGTGTGAAGTATTTTGTCTGCTCAAAGGCCCTCATCACAGCTGGTCCTTTCAGAAGATTGACAATTGAATCCACCTGTTGGGATCAATGTTCTGTGAGAAAGATGTTTTTTATAGCAACAATTAGAAATGTTTTTTTAAGAAATGCAGACTACAGAAGAGCATCTTTGGATTCTTTGTTACCTAATAGCTCCAGTTAAAGCAACAAGCTAGGGAATGTTAGACTAAACCTAAGGACCTGTTTAATCTGCAGTTTTGAACTATTTACAGAAAACTGAAGGAGAATGAGTAAATACATACCATCCCAGTAAACAGTGGAAAGCAAGAGTAAAAAGAAAAAGAAGTATTTGCTAAAGACATCTTAGTTCAAATATGGACATTAGCATTTAAGCCAAGAAAAATAATCTCATACTTGACCAAAAAGATGCTCCAAACAGCTATGGAGCTTGTCCTGTTTATCATGGGAGATTCGAACGCTTATGGGAAGTTCATCACCTGAAAAATATTTTGAAGTGGAAAATTGTTTAGAAGTTTCAGCATATTTTCCAAACTCTTTGTGGTTTAGATAATCTGCTTTGCACACATAGTGATGCTTAGGCTTTCAGGATTATAGTTACTGTTCTCTCCATGCATTTTGCATAGTAGTCACTTGATATTATAGAAATAGCTCTTAGAGAATGGACCACATTCAAAACCCAACTGGACATGGTACTAGACAACCTACTCTATATGACCCTGCTTGAGGGGGCTATTGGACTGGATAATTTCAAGAGGTTCCTTCAAATCTCCACCAATCTGTGACCACAGCACACAATACTTCTATGCTGGAAAACATCCTGAACACCAGACTAAATGGCTAAGTACTGTGAACCCAATACAGCAGACCACAGAGTCACTGAAATGCAGTCACCATAAAATATTTATAGGGATAAAAATTTAAATAAATTTCTACAGACAATTCACAATCTTTATCTTCTTAGTGATTAAATAGTTCTGAGATTTTAGTAATTAAAAAAAAAAAATACAGCATCCAAATCCTGTATTTGATATGAAGCTTTTAGTAGTATATACAACATCATTTCTTAAAGAGAATACGAAGGAGAAAGACTCTCCTGGTCACTGCTGTCACTCACTTGCTCTCTCAGACAATGGGTGATGCAACCTGAACTCCTTCAAAAGCTGTGAAAAATTGAGCTTAGAACTGTTTTTTCTCCTTGCTGCTGCAGTGACAGATAAGAAGTAGCCACTTGATAATTTATAATCCAAATTTATTCATGGTCAATCTAGACTCATTTTTCTCATGTCAGTGAAGAAGCACTTAAATAGCACTTTTCTTTCCTTGGGTTTGTTGGTTGTTTGTTTTTTTTTTAATCTCCTTTAGATGTCCTTACAGGCAGTAGTTATAAGCCTTATAAACCTTCACAGGATCTTAATTGCAACAGATGGAGCATGGTGTCAAAGGGCCCTGATCTGGAGTCAACCAGGTTAGCTTGGGAAATAGGAGAAAATTAAGTCATCAGAAGAGCGGGAGTTCCACTGAGCAGCAGTTTTTATCAACTTGAACACTGTATCTGCAGTTAGCTAGCACAAACATATTCTTTTTGGCAGCTCAGTACTTCAGCTTGATACTGCACAAGTGCATATAAGTTGGACATACAGACCAAAAGAGTTGGTCTTCTCTTTTATTAACAGCTCTTCATGCCTTCATCCTTTCCTCTCTATCTGCTCAGCTCTACAAGTATTTCCGGAACATAGCTGCCTAGAACTGCATTATTCAGAAGGTATGTCAGATACCTTGCATGTCATTAATACTTGCATGTCCCAACTGAAAATACCTCTCCTGGTAAAACCAGTAATAAAACTTGCCTCCTTTAAGGCCAGGTCTCACTGGTGGCTCATACTTAACTAATATGCCCAGTTCTTTCTTTTCCTAAATCATTCCCAAATTATAAACCCCCAACTTAGAGCAAACATTTTTTTACTATTAGTCCTTAAGTATATGACCTTGTACTCTATGCTGTTAAATTCCATCTCATTCCTATCAGCAGCTGCATTTATTTAAATTCAATTTGTCATGGCATAAACAAGAATGCGCTTCTATCTGGTCTCACATTCCTTCCTACAAACATACACAGCCATATCCTGCCGTCTGGGGGCTGACACAAGCTGAGAGAGTGTTCACGCTCACCTAAAATGATCCTTACTCTGTGCAATATAAATCACTGTCAAGGTCAAAGCATTAAAGTGATTAAAAGCAATGACTCTAAGAGCTCTAACTAATTCAGTCTATTCAGAGAAATGCTGGAATGTTGACCCTCTGTCACAGAAGGACTCAGTGCCGCACTAACTAGGTAGAAGCAAAATGAAACATTTCTATTACCATGGAGGATGCACTTTTTAAAACAAAACCAACAAAACTGACAGGCAAATAAAATAAAAAAAAAAAAAGGAAAATAAACCCCCCAAACCTGAATAAAAGGAACGGATGACAGATTCATAGCTGACTTTTCTAAACATACCTGAATCCATTTCATCACTGTGAAAATACGAACTGCACTGACTGCTGCAAATGCTGGTGAACGAGGCAATGGAGTTCCGATTGCTGTTGCAATCGCTTGGAAAAAAAAGAAGACCAAACAAGAAAAAAAAATAAAGTCATGTTCTTTAACACAGGTTCTGTACCAAGATTATGAAAGTTCTTTTTCTTTTCCCCTTTTAAATGTAATGATGAGATTGTCTGTACAGTTCTTTATCAACAATAAATATCCCCACATATAGATTATCATCTAGTTTGCAACTCTGCTAGGACTCAGCATACCAGATTACCAAAACTGACGATTCAACTGCCTCCCTCCACCTTGCACGTGAACAAGTACTTCCAAATGATAATATAGAACTTTCAGTGCAACAGTTTTTGTAACTGTGGCCCCAAAAATTTTTGTAACTCCACATTTAAATTATTTACTTCTAGTACATGGCTAATACAAATGACAAAATACTCTGGTTTATGACTTGCAAACTAGAGTCCCTAATATGTTTAGAAGAGACTTGACCATTCAAGGAGCACCAAAGCTCAAATTACAAACTATTTTTCCCTGCCAGTGAAAATAAGGTTTATGATCCCATCTTTTCCAGATTTTCACTTTGTTAGAGATAAATAGAAATTTACATCTGTTACTTCAGTGAAAATTTCTATGCACAGAAAGTATCACCCACACTGGTATAGTGAGGAGATCTGGGGATTAAAATGTGTAATTTTTTTCTCCTCTTTCCCCTCAAAAATGAATTGTTCTATACAGAAAATGCATGGAAAACATACCTATTTCTGCAGCATAAGTAGAGTAAAACTTAGCCTTTTGTACTAAATCCTAAGAAGATAAATTTGAAGAAGATAATATAAAAATCCTAAGAAGATAAATTTTAATTCAAAGTCTTCAGAGTTATTAAACTGCTTGAAGATCATTTAGTTTCAATGCAGGAAATGCTTAAGTAATTATCCAGCAGAGGGAGTCTTAAAAACCCACGTAAATATAAGATAATGTACAAATGTACCCAAAGGATATTTATACATAATGACCTCAATTTGGGTTTTATGAATTGGGTGTACTCATTCATCAAGGTATACGTATCTGTTTTACACATAATGGTACAGCTATACATGTACCAATGTGCTCCCTCCTTGTTTTTTTTATTTTTGTAAGTACAGAAGTGGTCTTTTACTAGTTTTGGCATACAGACTTCCATTTCCTGGGTAAGGTGTAAGTTTTGCACCTGTAGACAACCAGGTAAGTCAATAGGGAAAACTTTTCAATAAAGCAATACAATCTAATTACAATCATATCCATTAAGTAGATGAAAAGACATAAGTAACAAAATGTTCCTAACCGAGGGTGAACAGTCCCAAGGAGTATTAAGAATTTCTGGCTGGATATTAAGAAATGTTTTCTAACTAACTCAACTCACTTATTAAAGTCTCCAAAGAGAGATGAAGGTTATTTAAAACTGGATTGTGCAAAGCATGAGAAAATAAAACACAGGAAAATAAGAAACACAATAGATGTATTAGCTGTCTCATTGTGTAGTATTGTAAGGTTTAGAGTAAGACCCTACAACACAAAATGAGAGCATTCTAATGGCTGAAATTAGCCTACTAGTTCTAATAATCACAGTGGCACTACAATGGTATCTGAAGATATTGATTACTGACTAATGCAATTATTTAAGCAAAGAAACAAAATATTTAATCTCCAACAATTCTCCTAAACTCATGAATTTTATTATTATTCTGCGCATAGAACCCTAGATTTATCATTCAGAATCAACTATAAATGACCAGAATCATAATAAAGAAAATATTTTGAACAAATTGATGCTTGTGTATTAAGTCACACCTTCTTTCTACACATACAAATCTTGTACCAAGTGGGAAACTCCCCATCTGGCGCAAGCACAGGCCACTGAAGCTGTTCCTGCACAGTCAGTTTGACACATCGTAAACTTTCAGAAACCCCTAAACATGCTTCAGTCATTTTGATTGTGTGTTCATCATGGTTAGAACAAGATGGATTTAATCTGTGCAAATTGCCTTTACATTTATTTCTGTTCAAATTTATATGCATATTTCTGTTTCTACTCCGAGACCGAATTCCTACCTATCATGCTGCAGTAATTAAATATTAGCTTGTGAAAGAGATCTCAGCAACACAGGGTTCTGTAGAAATATGATGGCACTACTGAGATTCTACTTTCTGAGCATAATAATGAACCATGATAATGAACACTTAATGAACGCTTATTTTACTTGCAGCTAAAATTTCAATTTAGATTTGATACTGTGTAGTTAACCAATTCTTGTAAACAACAGAAGATAATCTTTAAAAAGACTTATTTGTCCTATAATTACTCCTTCCTTTTCAAAACGTTCTGTGTTTTCTTTGTAAATTCTTTATATTTGAGATGAGATGATGGATACTTAGAGTGGAAGAAGGCGAGCAATATATGTTGAAAAAATAGGTATTTTCTTTCTTTAGATCAGCAAGAGTAGAGGCCCTGGAACCTTGCTTTCCATAGCAGATAATTTGATTTGTTGTTGGAATATAATAATAGAAATTATTTCTGGTTTTTATAAGACAGGGAATCCAAAGTAAAGCTTTACAGCTCTGGCTGTGGTATCCTATAGAAGTTAGGGATACTGAGATTTAATATCTAATCTGTACTAGTTTTAAAAGAGGTTATTTACCCATCTTGATGCTAGTTATTTCTCCGTTAGAAATCTCAGAATCATTCTATTCTGACAGTCTTTATAATCACTTGACAGTGTACAAACCCACAGGTTTGATTCAGTTGTGAAAAAAAAAATATTATTATAAAAGTTACCTGTAAGAATCCCTGTTGCTGATAGTATCATGACCAGAATCTTCTTGTTCATCACCTGTCATGCTGAAACAGACTTTCTTCCCATTCCTTTCCCCCTTTTCATTATCACTGTCTGCTGGCATTAAAGGCTCAGGTGTTTTACGTTCTGATTTGGGAGAGTATGTTATTGAAGAAAGAAGGCTGAGAAAAAAAAATAAACCAGAAAAAGATAAATTCATGTTTTTCAAAAGTGAGCTAAACGCAGAATAACATTTCTCCTCAATGTCTTCCAACTACTATTCTATAGTATGTGATCTTAATTCACCCCATATCTATTTGAAAAAGGGGAAAAATGCAACACATTCTGCTGTTAAAAAGTGTAACAGTGAAATCCATTAGCATTACCAAATACTCAATCTGGTATGAAGATAATGATTCCAGCTGGGGAAGAAATACAGCACATTCTTGAACACCTGGGGTAAAATTTTATATTAACATGACTGTTTTTAAACTTGCACCATGCGCTTGTCAGCACAAATCAAGAAAACAGACCAAAGAAGCTATCTGTATGAAAAGCATATGTATTTACAATTACTACTGTACCAGACTTGCCAGCCTGCATCACAAGCTATTCAATAAAGGTGTTCTAAGAATCTTTATTAACATTATCTGTGTATTTCCTTACAAAAAGTCTAAGCCACTATCACTAGTAAAACTGATTATTAATCTACAAGCTTCTGTGACAAGCATAAAAGTAACATCCAGTCAAGAAGAGAGAACAGGGCAGACCGCTACATTTAGAACATGCAGCAGTACTGGATTCATATTTTTGGTGATTAACTCATACTGAAATGTTCTGATTTATTTTAAAGACCGGAATAGCTATAATGGGAAATCATCCTCTAATTTCTATTACTTAGAATGACATTTTAAAATTAGTATTTAGATATGAAAGGCAACATTTTTTTCTTTGCAGAAATTACTATCTAGCTACCTGAAATCAGAAGACACTGATTAAGCTGAGTTTTTTTCTGTAAAGTACTTAGACACAGTAGCAAAGTTTTATTGTAGGAGCTTTCAGAATAGTCAACTGGCAAACTTTTTACCAAATAAATGGCAGGATTCCAACGTATGTTAGATCTTTTTGTTTCCCTTAATCTTTACTTCTGAATGGAAGCTATGGGAGATGCACATATTTTGCAAACAAAAATGCTGCCCTAATAGTTACTAAAGGGTAGCATTCAGAATTCTTCCCTTTAGTCTTATTTCTTGCCACACATATTAGCATTGTTGCATTACACAAAAGAGGAATTCTGATTTAAGTGGTTTAAAGCTCCATCTTCGTTTTGTGGGCCTCTGCCAGTGGAAGTAATTCATCCTTAATCCTAACAAACTAAAGTTTGTTCAGCTACAGTTCAGTACTGAGCTATAAATTTCTCTACTCTTTTGACAAAGATATTCTACCAGAAAACAACCTGATCCTAAGCTGCTCTTGAGCATTGAAATTTCTGGACTGAGAGCAGTGACCTTTTGCATACAAAACACAGACAATGCGTTCAATACCATGTTCAACTATAACGCGTTTCGAGTACAAACAAATAATTTTCTGACTCTCAGGAACGGACAGAGTTTTGAGAAAGAAATTAAGAAACCATACACTTCAGCAATGCAATAGGGTAAATTATCCCTATAATGCTGCCTGTGGACTCTATAGCAATGAATACATACCTCAAATGGCGTATCAACCTTGGTTTCATTGGAATTATGACCTGATAGATGTTAACACAGGGTTTGGCATTAACTTTAGGGAAAAAACGATGACACGTAAAGCTTTTTAGCAAATCGTTTCATCATTTCTGCATAACTTTCTCTAGCTAAGCGCTGACAAGAGATAGACAGGTATTTATCGTAAATACAGGAAAAGGTATTCATCTGAACTGTAACAAAAGTATTGAAAAATGTCACAGAAGGTATAATTTTACTGGACTTTAAACCCACCCATCCACTAGACAGACATCTTTTGGGCTACACGATGCCTTACTACTTCCTATCAGTGTGAAATCTCAGTTCAGTTCTTCCCTACCACTTAGGTTACTAGGTAGCAGGATTCCATGAGGACAGGAAGAAAGACGAGGCATGTATTTTGCAGCACTATTCAGTTTCAGTCAACCTGCTACATGACACATGCTCTTGAACATATACTAAATAAATGTGTTATGAAAATGTAAATCTTAGAAAATCAGTGCTTCATACTTGTAAAACTTATTTTCTGAACACAAAAATACAAAAGGAGTTCAAAAAAGGGATTAGACAAATTCATGGCAGATCATTTGAACTATTCCTAAAACAAAAAGTCTGTTCCAAGAAAACCTTATAACACTGCCTGCTGGAAGGTGAGTTAAAGACAAGGTTTAATCTATACTTTTGCTTTTTCTTGCATTCCCATTTCTATGAAAACAAAACCAGGCTTTGGGCAGATCCATTCTGGTAACTTCTTGTGGATTTTGTTGTTGCAAAAAAATAATCAAGAGTAAGAAACAAGCATAATGAACTGCAATTTCAGCTTCTGAAAATATCTTCCCCTGAGTAACTGTTTGTCAAGACACAGACAGACTATTATATCCTCTTCTTTTATGTGACTGTTCAGTCACTGCTGCCAAGATCTCAGTAAAAGACTGATTAAGGTAGCTGGAGCTTTTCCTAAGGGAGCTTTTCACATTTTCTCAGCAGGCAGGCTCTTTTTCTAAGGAAAATTTTTTTGCTGAACTACCATGAACGAAAGCTGGAACTCTGGATAACAAAGTTCTGGAGCTGGTAGTTCCTGAGACCACTGACTTGCTCTAAAATCCCAGTGCAGGGTCTAAAACACACAAACCCAAACCTGTATGCAAAAAAAAAAAAAAAAAACTATGATCATGCTTAAACAGACTTTGGTTTTTTTTTAAATGGTTGTTTTTCAGTTCCTGAACACAGCACACGCATATTGTATTTTTTTTGCAGATGGATCTACCCTTTGCAGAATTATCTTAGACATCTATCTGTCCTGGGAGAAATATGTGAATGAAGAGCAACTAACAGCTAGAAAGTAGCTCTGTAACGATGAAGAAAATTTCCATTAAACAGAGAAATTTAACCCTTGACCAGAAAAACCCTCACATGTGGAACTAATCCTATATCCAGCCCAAATCAACACAATCTTAAAAGTATGTCAGAAACAAAAGTATGTCAGTCAAAGCATTAAAAGATGAGACCCAGAGGCAGCAACAGAAAACCTACACAACCTGTGAGCTGCTTTGCCTTTTCCTCACTCCATGAAGGCTCAGAAAATGTTCAAGCCTCTTCTACACCACCAACAGACACCCTTCCAACAACAACAAAAAAAAAAACAACAAAAAAAACCTCAAACATCTGGGATCCTGGGAGCACACTGAGTGCATGTGAACCAAGAAAACAGCAGAATCACCATGCAGAAAACAACTTGAGACTTTTTCTGCAACACACCTATAGCATCAATGGTGGGTAACCAGCAATGGTACTAGAGAAGTACTGGCATACTATTAAACTATTTGAATGAGGAGTCAGTGGAACTTTGAGAGGCTGTGGAAAGGGTATATATGTCTTTTTGTATGTGTCTCTCTCTTTCCATCTTATTTCTGTATTTCTTATGCAACCCAATTTCATCAATGAACCGTGACAAAAGTTATATGAAGGTAATGACAGGAGCACACAACATTTCTTCTATCGCATAATCCACAAGCTCTCACAGACCTGCTCTTCGGATGAAACACTTGTTTTTCAGTTCACTTTGATTCATTCAACAGATCAGAGACATTGGGCAGATTTCACTGCCCCAAGATTTTGGGAGTTGAGAGAAAGACCTTTGCTGACCTCAACACATGTGTAACATGAAAATGCAACTTTTTTTCAATAATACTGTTATAAAGGGTACCAAAGAGCCATCTAGTAGCCCAATTTTTCTATGATTCAGTATCACATTCATTTAGAATTGTGATATCATGTTCATATTTTCTGTCCTCAGAAAATTATCATAAAGATTGCTTATAATAAGAAGAAATACAGTACGTAAAGACATCTATTTTATTGTTGCTATGTCATAATAAAAAACAGAAATTCTACAGTCTTTACAAAGTTTAAGCATCAGTCTAACACTTTCTCCTAACTAAAATGAACTAAATATGAATATTTCTAATTGTGGCACAGCTGTTTGATTATCCTATCTCATTACTCTATCTTTTGTTTCCTAGTAGTCCTAACTTTTCTCTCAGGAGTTAATTAGCAACTGTAACTATGTTCTAATACAATACACCATGCACTGATGAACTGCTCACGCCTCTTCCGCACTTTCAAGTAGGTCCCTTTGCTACCCTGCTTCCTGTATAGAACTGCTTTCCTCCACAGTAATTACACACTGGCAGTCCACTCAAAGCCCATTAGGAATAAAGCATGAAAAGTGTCAGTCTTGCAAATAGCAAAAGGTAAAATTTCCTAAATAAAACTATGAACCTTATAAAAAATCTACAACCAGGTCAGTGTACAGGAAAATTATGAAATAAAAAAGTGAACTGTTGCGTTTAGTGTCATAACTGCGTGACTCTCCAAATCAATATATGAATATACATATGTATACCTGTACACACAATATATTATATATGTGTGTGTGTTTATATACACATGCGTATGAAAGGCTTTGCTTTTGCATCACGAGCTCAAGAGAGTGAAAAGGAAAGGCGTGGTAGACTGGTAACTGGAGCTTCCTGAAATATTCACTGAACTCCCATATATAATTTTCTGACTTCCTTGAGGAAAAGTGGCAACACAGGCTTTACAGTCATTTTTAAGTGCACTCAAGCACTGAAATTATTTTAAATTTAATAACTAATTAACCAATATTATTTTCAGCCTGATAATAAGCAGAATTATGTAAAGGCACAGAAAACAATGCTTTTTTAAAAATCTTCAGGCCACTCTTATTTTATTGTACTATGTAATACATTAGATCACTTATTACTATGTAAATATTACATTACATTACTGTTAGAACAGTACAAAAAGTTTCCCACTCTAAAGTAACCGTGAAAGGATAAACCATTGTATGGTCTTCAAAGTAACAGGAGAAGTAATAATAAACCACTTTTCCAAACTCAGGATACTGAATTATTTGCTTTTAAACTCAAAAAAGGTATTATTCATATTTTCAAAAGGAATAATTTCTGATACTTACATTACATATAGGATCTCTGAAAAATGAAAGACCCATCATCCTTCTTCATCCATCATTCCCAGACAGAAAATAGCCTAGCATGCAACCCACTTACCACACAAATGGAAAAGCAAATTTTAAATCCTTGTCCTGAATTAGGGCAAACTGTGATGAGACTCTGGGTCTCTCACATTCAATTCAAGTGTCCTTATCATTCAACAATGGCTCTCCCTAAATCCACAGTTCTTCATCAAGGCCAATTTGGTTTTGAAAAATGGCCAACAAATTAATAATCTTCCTATAGGTGAAAAATGCTTTACCTACAAATTCATATTCAGGACTATTCAGCAACAGCCAAAGAATTCAATAAAAACTGTTTTTATACCTCTGCCCTTTGTTTCCATTCCTAATGAAATTTTAGATTACAGGGTCCTCATATTCCTCTCACCTCAAAATAATTAGCATTCTTACATTCTAGAGAAAAGCTACAAACTACAGCAGGAAAAAAAATCAAGGACACCAAGAAAAAACAAGAAAGGATATTACCTACACTTGAATTCTTTGCCTTATTTCAATTCTACCTGAAGTCAACATTGATCCTACACTACACAAAAAGGATACCCAGGTTTATTGGTGTCTTCAACAGGAAAATTAAAGTCAAGCCCAGATGGTAACATTTACTTACTCGTCTATTTGACAGACACATGTTTCCACCTCTTTCAGTGCAGCTTGTAATTTGAACAGCAATTTTTGATAGACATCTTGTGTTTCTAAATCTTCTTCTTTCAAGAGATATCTCAGACCGTGGCCCTCTTGCTGGCCAAGAGACTGTCCTGAAGGGGCAGCCATAGTAGTAATGGTATGTTGGACATAAATCATGGGATTCAGTTTACCTGGGAACAGCCCAAAGGTACATCATTATCTTTTTTTTTCAACACACATTCTGAAATCAGTAAAATATCTGATATTGAAACATTTTCAATGCTTAAAACTTTATGTAATTATTTAATTTTGCATTTTATTTTGCATATCAAAGTCAAGCTACTTAAAGAAAAAGTTATTGCAAAATTATGACTAGCCTTTATTATGCTTTAAAATGCTTCTCCCGAGTAACAAGTAGTAGGACAAGAGGTAAAAGCCTCAAGCTGCCAGACTGGATATTAGGAAAATTTTCTTCAAAGAGAGGGTGACCAGGTATTGGAACAGGCTGCCCAGGGAAGTGGTGGAATCATCATCCCTGGAAGTGTTCAAATACCATGTAGATGAGGCCCTTAGTGACATGGCTTAGCAGTGGTCTTGGCAGTCCTGAGGTATAGGTCGGAACTGATGATCTTAAAGGTCTTTTACAATTTACATTTACAATCTACGATTCTATGAAAATAAGCCTAAATATTGAAAATAGGGAGATTTCATAAAGACCTGTCCTTAATTCTAGTATTTAGGATATAAACCTAAACCAGTTACCTTTTAAGACTCTGTATCAGAAGCACTGTAAGTAGTAGCTCTTTCAAGGTCAACTGACTTACCTTGATCAGTGTTTTTATTCTCCTTTTCATGGGAAGAATGTTTTCTGCTGTCTAACTGTACACCAAAGGCACTACCAAGGGAAGTTGAGGTTTTAGGGTAAGACACTTCCATCACATTGATATGGCAATTGGTTGGACAGAAATCACTGCTGTGAAGTGGAGAAATCTTTGACTTAGCTTGTTTGAAGGTAGGCCAAGCTCTGTTTTTTAATACTCTTGAAAACTAGAAATGAAAAAGAAAGCAAAATTTTTATTAACAGCTTTTGAAGTGTCAGCATTTGGCTGACAAAATTTTTACACCTGACTAAAAAAGTTTAAAATACTTCAGGCATTCTTGATTTCAGATGCCTTGATTTCATAATTTCCATCTTTCTCTACAAGGGAAAGAAAAAAGTATTTCTCATTTTATATTTTTGAGAGGTTGTTTTTTGAGATAAATTGTATTTACAAATGTAAATAGCCTTGTAACAAGGAGATAAATTTATTTTCCTTGCAACATAATATAATATTAAGTATCTTCCTGGGGAGAAAGTTTACAATGCTCTATGATCCACTGCTGTACTACCCATGCCATTTATAAAGACCTGCTGACATAAATGATTTTAAGTCAATGTCTTGCAAAAATTTCTGAATTTTTGCCTGAAGCAAATAAAGACAGAATTGGAAGCAATGAATTATTTATATTCAGGCAGGATGAAGTCCTCCCAAATGGTTTCTTGGCTTGCGTTAGGAAAGGCATTGCCCACAGGTCAAGGGAGGTGATCCTGCCCCTCCACTCAGCACTGGTGAGGCCACACCTGGAGTGCTGTGTCCATTTCTGAGCTCCCCAGAAATAGACAGACATGGACATATTGGTGAGAGTCCAGGTAAGGGCCACTAAGATGATGAAAGGATTGAGCATCTCTCCTATGAGGAAAGGCTGAGAGAGCTGGGACTCTTGAGCCTGGAGAAGTGAAGGCTCAGGGGGATCTTATCAATGTATTCAAATATCTGAGATGAGGGTGCACAGGGGACAGAACCAGGCTCTTTCGAGTGGTGCCCAGTGACAGGAGGTGGTGGCCACAAACTGAAACACAGGATGTTAACTCTGAACATCAGGAAACACTTTTTAACTATGGGAGTGACTAAGCACTTGCACAACCAGCCCAGAGAGATTGCTGGATCTCCCTCCTTGCAGATGCTCAAAAACTGTCTGGACATTGTCCTGGGTAACCATCTCTAGATGGCCTTGCTTGAGCAGGGGGCTTGGGCAAGGCCTCCGGAGGTCACTTCTAACCTCAACCACTCTGTGTTCTTGAGTGAATCTGTGAAGCTGATAAACACTAGAGCATAAAAAAATGCAAACACCATATTTCAGACTTCTCTAGCCCACCAACTCTTCTCTTTCCTATATATCAGCTCAGTAATGATGAACACTTCTCCCTGGTCCCCCATTCTGTGGTCTAAGTCTAATGTAGTGTTTAGCCACATGTCCCTTACTATAACACCTGAAATTTTGTGCATACTCTCAAACAGTCTTAGTTACTTGTTTTTAAGATGACATATTGACCCAAAATGGCTAAGACTGAACTGCATTAAATTTGGACACTCAGAAAATAGACCTACTTCAGAATCATAAAAGTCAGAAAGCTCTCTCATTTAGAAAGAGACTTGTCAGTCACAAGTAGGATTTCTGTCAAAACTTGTCCTTTCGAGTGCAGTTTGTTGTTAGGGAAGATTTTTTTTTTTCTGGAAAAGACATAATCACTTCCAAGTCCCTGATATTTTAATCACGGTATCTCTACAGTCAAAATATTGCACAGACCTACGTCAGCTACGTCGCATAGCTCATGCATAAGAATATTTTCAAAGTTAACTTGCAAAGTTCCTTCCATAATAAATGTCAGTACAAATTGAATCAGTCATGTTTTGACTAACTCTTCAGTTGAATAAAGGTATGTCCCTTCTGAATAATAACAGGTTTTTGTGCTGGGATTTAGATTTCTCTTTATTTTGGTGTCATATTACTTCAGCTTGATGAACATTTGACTGATTAGTTATATTTAAATCTCTATATCAGTACAAGATCTGGAAGGTTACAAGAAATCCAATTATGGAATTGTTCGAAGGGTGAAGAATGTACAAATAGTTAAGAAGGGCACTAAGGACATTCAACGATGAAAATGTTCCTGCAAGCAGTACATATTTCACATCTCAATCTCCCACACATCCTGCTCCAGAGAGACCAAACGCCTGGCTATGATTTAATCAGGTCATAAGTCAGGCCCAAAATTCTTTTCATATATGTGTTGAGAAACATCTGGGACTCATGGCACTGGACTCGGCGTCTATTATGAGCAAAATGTTCTGATAATAATAATAGTAGGAACTGCAGAAATCCACAGGGTTTCTATTTATAGAACTCAAACTTCCACAGTGAAACCAGGAGCCAAGCTGGGCTCAGGCACTCTAAAAGTCTCCTGTAACTATGGTTACCTTTACCTTGCCAAGAAAATGACACATCTAGTCCTGAAATTTACTGCGTTACTAATTGTCATTAAAAGCAATAACTGAAATTACTGATTTTTTAGCAGATGAGCTTGGAAGTGCAGTTTGTATCAGTAATATCTGCTTCTAGACAGTATAAGTACTATGTAAACTTCCCTGAGGCTGTTTGTGTTATACCCAGCATAACACAATGCAATTTCATTTATTGTCTTGGCCTCCTGTAAGGAGGCTGTAGATCATGCTCAAAATTTTTGGCTACAGGAAAGGTAGAAACCACCTACATGTTACTCAGACTCTACAGACAATATCATTAGTGTTAAAAGCATTGAATTTGGTGGTGGTTTTCTTAAGCTATTTTTAATCAAATTGAAAACACAGAGGTTTATAATTTAAGCAGATGGAGAGATTGGATGCAGTATCAGAAGCCTTTCAGTGTCTCCTCCTGTGACTCAGCTTCTCAGTTTATTTCATTTCTTGTCAGGGACCACCCTGAAGAGTTTTTAGAAAGCTGCTTTTTGGTCTTCATCCTACTGAAGCTACAGGTTTTCCACACAGTCTCCTCTTCATTTGAAAAACAACATCATCTGTTCTTTTCCATGCAGCTTTTTGAATTGTGTGAAGCTTCTACAGTGAACCTCTTTTTCCTTTTCTTTTTTTTCTTTTCAGTTTTTTTTGCATATTAACTCAAAACAGGCCAGTCTGTAAATGTCACAACTTGGGTAAGACAGGGCAGAGCCACATATATGTAAACATTTTACGTCTACTTCAAACTAGTTCCAAACTCCCAAGAATTAAGTTGTATGGGAGACGCATGAGAAACCAGGATGAGAAAATAAGTTTGCATTAACGTATTCGCAAATGGTTAATTCATTTATGCCCTGCTCTAGCTAAACACTGGCAGCACCCAAAGGTCATAGTCCAGGTCATTTATGCATTCACATCTCATTAATTTAGATCTCAAGTGAAAGTCAGTACCTTTGTTTTTCCTTGTTCCAATGTTTTATTAAGCCAAATTAATCTAATAGTTTATAGAGCTATTAATAGTCATGCTAGAAAAAGTTACAGCAATTTGAAGGGCATAAAAGATGAATAAAAGGGTAATGATTTGGTATTTAAAATAAACATTAGAAGGAAAAAAACAATTCTGCTCCTATTGCTTCATTTTTGGTTAACATCTGCAAATTCACTAGAGTATTGGTTTAAGGGATTTACAAGAATGCAAGCCCTTTTGTGGGAAATACACAGTTGATTGTATCTACAACTGAACACAGCAAACAAGAAAGGATATGATCTATCCAGTGTCTAAAAAAAGAGATAATAACATGGTTTGAAAATAATTTATGCAGTTATTCAGTTTAGGCATTCATGCCTCAAATTAGCTAAACTTTCAGGCATATTTTCATCACTGCAATAGAGATTTTGAAGAGTTATTCAAAATCTCCTGGATTTCCCTTAAAAGCTAAACATCTCCAAGCTTAGGACATACCTTTTTATAACTAGAGATTCTTCGGCAGATATGCTCAATTTTCTCACTGCAAATGACACTGAATTTACTTTGAAGCTCGGTGGGGATCACTTCATTTAAAGAATTGAGGCTGTTACAATTCTGCACAAAATGTTCATCACTTTTTGCCAGTGCTTCAAGAATCTAAAGTAACAAAAACAAGAGCAGTATGTTATGAAGTAAGATGACTAGGATACACCCTTACTTCTCATCCCTTATAATTAAAGATGAAAAGCCTGGTATCAGTTGCCTTTTAACATTACAGGCAATGCTGTATAACAACAATTTATAAAACTTTGGAAGCAAAGAGGTTTCTTGAAATCTATCCCCTGCATAAGTTATACCATAATAAGTACTTTTTATTTTGCTTCTCATGACATTGTCTAATAACTACTTATTTCCCACTAATGTAACCATTATGGCTCCTCTGAAATACATTATCTGTTGTATTTACTTGAACAGTGCACATTACGCAAAGCTGATGAATTAATTCAAGTCTTGTAGTAAAAATCTCGTCTGGGAGTATAAGCAATGCTGACACATTTTAAAAAGAATACAAGAAAACTGAGTGCTATCCACTGTATGCTCTACATATATAAACAGCTAACGGAATAGAATAAGCTATACTGCCCAGCAAAGGCTGAAGTTCTGCAATGATGGAAATAGCACCAGCAAATGATGGCGATAGAAAACCAAGAATAAAAAAGGCTTGTTGAAGATATATAAGGGTAGTATATAGCACTATATTTTTTTTTACAATTTCAGGCATTGAAATTCACTGTGTCATGGAACTTGGGAAGTGCCTGCTGCTGGTTGGGGCCACCTCTTAAGACATGTTTGAAAAACACACCCAAAATAACTTTCTAACTATGGCACCCAAAATACAGATAAAGGCACCTAAATAAATAAATGACCTTAAGTATTGACTAGACCAGCTCTAGCAAATCTCACAATGTTGCTGCAAGAAGTTACTCCCTGTCTGTCAACCTGACTTGCTCCAAAGCGAAGCTAGGGAAAAGAAACGCATGCCCACGCCTCAGTTATTTCAGTTAAAAGATCAATACTTCAGTTTAGACTTTTGGTGGAAAGATCAACAGAAAAAGAAACAGGCAGATATTAATACACTCCCCAAAACTTGGGCTTCAGTACCTCTATTAAGCAATCTTTGTTAGCTTGCATACGTGTGTGAAAAGATAAACAAAAACTTATTAAAAGAGGTGTATTACTATATTATTTGTCGATCTGATGCAGACAGTACCAGACACATATAAAAAAAAAATCCCATCCTGTTCATAGCAATCACAGACTTTACCATCTGGAAATATTCACAAAATAAAAATGCCAAAGTAAACTCAAAAGTTGCACCTGTTCTTTTTCTTCCTCCTTGATTTTGCCAATGTGTGCACCTATATACGCACAACTTTATTTTACTTTCAGAGACAGAAAATACTGATCTTGTGTTACTCCTTTTACTGAAAGACATTTTAAAAGTTGCACATGCAATTCTATGTAAGTGCATCGTAAGAACTAATACACAGAAAAAATAGATTCATACCTTTGCAGTCAAGCTGAAAAATCCCTTTGGTTCAATCATTTTTTCTAAGACATGGCACTTTATTCCAGCTGTGCTGTCATACTCATAAACCACTCCATACTCCAGATGGACATTGTCAACAGTCAGACTCACATGATCTTTCTTCCCATCAATTATTGCCATAGTGTTAAATTTGTCAATTACCTCTAGAATAAAGGAAATTACACAAATCAGTTCAGGAGGGTTGGCCACTAAACAAACTAAAAGGGACACAGGCCTATTTAAGGATGTTCATCAAAAAGCCCAGCTACCAGCTGAATGTCTTAAGAATCATAACACCAGGATGCTACAATACTAGATTGCTTAAGAGGCATGATTAGACAAGTCATAATAGTCTCTCTCTACAAACAGCTATTGAAGGGGACTAATTCAATTTCATTTATAATCAGAGACATAAAAAAGCAACCATAAAAAAAAGGTGAAAACTGAGAACTTCTAAATAAACTAGGCGAAAATGACCATGAAAAGTGTCAGCATTCAGAAATGAAACCACAATAACCGCATTTACACTGAGAACATAAATACAATTCATGTTAACTGTATCTTTAATTACCATGATGCATATGAATACAGCTTTATCTAAATGTTAATTGTCTGAAAATAATCTGAAGGATACCTGATTTGTTATTTCTCATGCAATAGTGACTAATGCATCTAATTTAGCTTTAAATTACTACCAGTAGTGAAAGTAAATCAGGTAATTCCTAGATTATGTATCCTATGAATGAAAATTGAACATATTTTCCTTAAGTGTTCACAGAAACTCTTTCTTGAAACGGTAAATAAAATAATTTTCAAGTAACAGCATGTTAAATTCACATCTTTAGAAAACAAATCCTTATATATAACTCATTATATGGTCTGCTTGCAAATTCCTCTCTGAAAACAAAGCCACCTATATTTTACCTGTTACTACACCAGCATTCTGAGCAACAACAAAAAAACAAAGTGAGAATCACATACCTTCCACTTTGCAGTCAAAGGCATCTCCTCCATCATCTCCAGAGGGCTTAGTGTTTGTTTTCTGAAGATCCTCCTGTGCACTTTCGATGCTGTTGTAAACCCACTGTATAGAATCTTGCTAAAAAAACAACAAAAATAGACAGCTAGGAAAAGCTTTGCAAGTGCAACTGAGAGCAACTTATTTCACTGCTCTCCAACGTGAAATAGTTGCATTAACTCTGATTATTATCAGCTTTATTGCTTTCCGAGCTCCAAGTTAAAAATAATATTGTGAAAATTCTGTAAGAATTTTGGCATTACCTAAAACCATCTGAAGCATTTTGTCAACTTTTTATTTCAGAGTATACTGTCATGAGGCAGTATGAAATCTGTGACAGCATGACATCCATCAGTTTCATGGCTCTGACAAAAATAATTTAAGCCATTTCAAATCAAACTACAGATTAAAATGTATTTGAGATAAGAAATCATGAAAAAATCAAGACAAATTATTTTTGCCTTGCTAAATCTGCTGCACGGCCACAAATCTGCTGGCAAATATTACAGAAAACCAAACAAAGATACAGACTGTCCAGTTAATCTATCACCCATATGTCACTGGCAAGAAGAAAAGACACTAAAGCTTTCATTGCTTGTATTTGCCTTTAGTACAGTTACTTATATTTGACTTTAGTATAGTTATCTTAGTGGATGTTCTTTATTTTTCCCACAGATCAGCAAAGCTGCCAAAACAAAGACAGAATTACCCAAAAAGTCCAGCATCCGATGTGACTGAGTGACATGTGAGCACATGAATGGCGGCTTGGTCATACAACCCGTGAAGAAGCCATATACACAACTTGTACCTTTTTCTCCCCCTTTCAGTTACTCAGCCACGTGCCCATCACATCCTTGCAGAAGGGCCTATCAAATATGGCATCTTCAGACTACTCCTCCCTTTCCCTTACACTTCAAAAGAAGCTTGACAATCATTTAATCACTGCCTCTCCAACAGCTACAGCAGAATAAATGACACAATTATGACTAATCTGAATTCACAGACCTTGAAGTTTGTAGAAGAATTCAAAGTCAAGCAAGTACAGCAACTTTTTAAGCTGAATGCTACCATTTTCACACAATTTCCAATTATGCTTTGCTAACATACACTATGCAGCTGCTATCTTTACCCCATTAAATAGATAACCAGATTTTCGTATGATTAAGGTACTATTTCTCTCTAGGTTTCCTAGATTCATCCATGCCTTACTTTTGACTCAACAGCACTGAAATATTTTAGTAAGGAAGCTTAACTTAAGAGCTCTCTGTTGATTGTTGGAAGACACCTGTGCACAAGCTGATTGACAGAAAGCCTTCTGAAATCCACGTTTCTTTGCAGGTACACCTGAAAACTTGCTGCTTATTTATGGACTCTTACAGGTTTGTTTGGCAGCATTAAGACTGTCATGCCAACCTCTAATAGGAGATTTGCATTATGCCAAAGGGTTCCTTCATTATTTGAACTTAGTATGGCTTATGGAAGGACCAACTACTTAAACTGGAGGTCCCTCTTTCAAAAATTAATACAAGATATAATTCAGTTTGATTTGGAGCAATGTTACACAGTTATTCACAATCCAAGAATCTGAAATGAAACTTCACTCTCAAGGCAAGCAGGAAGACTCCTCAGCCAAAGAAGTGGAATATAGAGGAAAGAGAAAAAGATCCCCTTTCAAATATGCAACTGTCAACCACAGGAAAGACTGCAATATTTGAATTAATTAAATGATAGGATAATGCACTGTACTTACAAAATAGGAAAAAATCCATGGTCATGGTCCAAATAATTAAAACCCCACATTTCTGAATAGGAAATTAAATTTTAGCTATCTTGACACTAGTGGGAATACTGCCTTTTGTTTCAGTCTAGACAGTTCTCCCATAGCATTTAATAGCACTACATCCTAAATGAAGCTTTTCTGATCAGTCTGGGGATTTTAGTTACTTGTGATTTGCTGAACTATGATCAGCTACATTTTAAGATTGAAATAAATAATACATATAGAAAAAACAGTTATGTACACCAACATATTACACAAGTGGATTAAAAAACAGTAATTTTGTATGTCAAGGCATTCACGTGTCAGCCAACATTAACCAATCCTCTCTGGATGTCACCAATCTCTATAGGAATTCTACAGTTACACACAGAGCAAATACAGCTGCTATAAATAATTTAGCTTTTATTCTATCCAGTTTTGCTAGTAGCAGACAAAGCACCATCTCTTTACTAAAGAGCATCTTCCTTTAAATGACAGGTGAGCTTGATCTTGATATGCTATGTAACTTCAATACTGTATTAACAGTTTAAACACAAACATCCAACAACCATTTTCATAGAGACTGTAATTTGAAAGATACAGTTCTAATTCTTATTTATAATTCTTATATCTATGCAGTAGGTGTGGGAGAAGGATTTCACTCTTGATTTTAATTGGATTTTTCTTCTCAACTAACATGTACTGGAAGAGTTTGTGAAGTTAATTAATGATATGGGTTCACAGTTCATGAAAAATTTGCAAGGACTTGGAAAAACTACATTATAGAATCCAGCTGGTTTTGCCTTTGCTCCTTAAATTTGTGTCTTAGAAGGCTAAGATTTTCTTTGAAACCTACATGAAAAAGATAACAAAGATTGCATGCTTATATTAAAAAAGGGGAATTCTGAGTCCTTGAATGTATGTTTATTCCCAATACTGGAATGCAGTCAGAACACAAAGACTTTTATAGACTGAACATGCACACTCTCCTCTCTGTGCTGAAGCGTTACAAAATTCTGGAAGAAGATCCATTTTTTGCACTGAATTCTCTATTGCTGAGCATACAGCAAGCTTAAATCCCTCTCCATTACGATGACAATATACCTCCTAATGCTTTCTACCCAGAAATGCAGGAACACTTGAAATAATCCTTTAAAAATACCATATTAAAAAATAGCTATCAATTTAAGATTTATTTTGATTCAGAAATTAAATAGACCTTGATCATCAGCAATATATTAAGCAATCTTAAGCTTTTCTAATTCAACTGGCTTCCCTTCAGTTTTCACTAAACCTTTCCCCTCATCCCACTCAAACACAACAGATGTGTGAATAGATACACAACATACTCCTTACTTTGATCACAAAAGAAAAATCTTAGAAGAAAGTCTGCAAGGGTGCCAAATGAGACATACCTGCATTGGCCGCCTGTACTTCCTGCATGCCGTGACATGAGCGATAACACTTGCATGAGTCTCTTTGCTGACATTAATTCCATTCACTTTGATTATGCACTGGCCAGGGTGGAGACCTGCCGCAGCTGCCACTGTTCCTATTCAAAATAAACCCACATGAGTAACAGACTTAATTTCCTAAACATATCCTTTAAAGCTTACAGTCCAAAAGCCTCTTTTCTAATCAGAATCTGTTCTCACCAATTATTACGTACTTCCCCTGACCACAGAGTGCTTCTGCAGTCATCTGGCCTCCAACAAAATGGAGTTCCTCAACAGATGATTTTCTAAGAGAGCAGACTATTTTCCAAATGCTGTTTTACAAATCAAATGATAATGAGTAATATGAAAATGTGGAAAAATGGTCTTAAATGATTTTAAAAGGATAAAAGCCCTTAGCTTGAAACTTACTAATTACAACTTAGACCACTTTTATTCTAAATTCTTTAATGTGCCCAAGCTTACGGGCTTGTTGACTACTTCACGTTTCTCTATTCTGCATACAAAACAGAAGCTTTCTGACAATTCATAAATATCAGAGCATACTAGATTTTCTTGTTAAACATTAAGTGAAATACCAAAATTCAAGGTTGTTTCCAAGGACTGACTGATTTCCAGTCAAGTAGGAGAGGAGGGAGAACAAAACATTCTCTTTGACCAACAAAAAAATGTATGATTTAGTGGTTTATTTCCACAATGGAATAACCACCTTGGAAATATCTTCCACCCAGTGAATGAATAGGTACTACAAAAATAGCAGCTGTCTCCAGGTCTTTCAGTATGACTCAAGTACATTCCTGAAAGACAGCTTGCTTGCGTATAACCTTAGTTCCAGCTACCTGAACATTTCCCTCCTTATGTCTCTCTTGATACTGGCACAAAGGAGACAGGGAAGTCAAAATCTATTGCCTAGAGACTGCAAAGCTGAAGTACAGAAGCTAGCTGCTATGAAAGAAAAGGCTAGACTGAATTTTCAAGGCTGACAAATAGAAAAGCTCATCATGACCTGTCAGCTGAACGTATCTGACAAGGAAATAAACAATATTCCTGGATTTCCCTGATTTTAGCTACTATCAAGTTAGACAACAGCTATATGTTAAATTTAATATCAAATGCATTGGAAGTGACACCATTAATAGCTATTGCAACACATGCACCCCATCAAAAAAGATTTAAAAATAAACATTTAAATAGGCCTTTTTAAATATCTCTCAAAAAAACACAACACATCTTAAAAAAAAAAATAAACCCCAAAAAACAAACTACAAAAGAAAACAAATCAAACAAAAAAACAGGATCCCAATTCAGCAAAGTATTTAAGCATATGCTTAAAAATCTTTCAGGTTTACTAAACCACTCATGCACATGCTTACATACTGTTGAGGCTAATTGGAATAAAGTGTTTGCTTAATGAATAAGGACAGGCAGTTGAATTGAGATCCAGGTGCAGAAATAATTATCACATCAGCTCAAAAGTCTGTAGTCTATTAGACTTTCTCTTGAAAATCTAATTTCTGGCACCAGAGACTAGGAAGAAAAATAAAAGCCATCGAGCTCTGCTCAAATCTGGTTGCTTTGCAGATCAGTTCACTTAAAATTCCTCAATTGTAAAGGGAGGAGGGGGGGAAAAAGTACACGATGGCCCCACAACAGCTGAAAATAACTTTAGTTGGCTCTACCATTAACAACAACAAAGAATGCTTCACCTTCTTTCATCACCGGTGTCACGGTCAAGAACATACTGAGTTAGAGATGGCAAGCATTTGACAATCACACCACAAAATGGACAAAACACTATTTACAGGAGACAACTGTAATTACTAAGACAGATGAGGCCACTAGCACCCTTGAAAAGACTTGTGAGAAGTGCATTTTCTGTAAATCGTTTTCAGAACATTGCAGGGCTACATGGCCACCTAACAAATATAACGCTCAGGAAGTGAGTGGTTCCCAATAAAGAAAAAAAAAAGCCAGAAAATCTATCCAAAGTTTACAAAGCATAAGAACACTAAACAATCTTACCTGGTTTTATTTAATATTGTTTGTTACTTCAGGGGAGAAACCTAAGCTGAATCACTGGACCTAATTTTGATGTATCTCAGCCATGACATTTAGATAGTAAATGCATATTTACCACCACAGTTGACAGCTCTTACCTCTCCCAACAGCATGGACAACTGATGGACCAAAGCCCCGGATTTGGAATCCAAGTCCATCTGCAGAATCAGGAATCTTCACTGTCCTGATACAAGCAAAGATTCAAAAGGAATGTAGAAAAGGTAACATTTTGTTATTTAATATAAAGGTAGATATATAAATATATATATTATATATTGATATATCTAAATGTATCAATATAAAGCAGTAAGTAGGTTTACAAGAGCACAGGACATTTTCGTTCAATTCACAGTTTCAGACTGAGCAGGATCCGCTTACAGATACTCTGCACCACTGACATGAGAAATAAGAGCAAGCTGAGATACTGAAACACAATACTATTTCACAGGTAAATTCAATATGCCAATTACGACCAAAGCATGTGATTCGGGCAAACTGCCACAGCACAGCAACACTGAAAGCCCTTGGAAGACAGGGAGTCTCTCAGTCAAGAGGGCAAAGCCCGGGGACCACAGATCATGCAAGGCCTTGTCAGATAAGCTGCAGAAGATTGCAAAGACTAGATCCATAGCACAATTTGTTAACATCTAAAAGTGAGTACTTGATGAGTTTTACTGGGAAAGTATTTGGTGCAATTCTTCCAGGCAGCTATGTCAAATCTGAGGTTTGTCAAGCAAGAATTGCCTACTACTGTTCTTGTAATTCACAAGCACATTGTATTACACTCCTGCTAACCTAAGTGCAATAGTAATAAACCTACTGAAACATGACCAACAAAAACAGTTCTTAGAACCAAAATTCACATCTACTCCTTAAAATGAAGCCCTGAGCTCACCCAAAGTAAGCCAGCATATCCACATGATATCAGCTCGAGTTCCAGAAAAAGCAACAGAGCTGCATTACCCCCATCAGAGCTAGTCAGGTCATGTGTAACAGTCCACTGATTTAGCTTTGCAGCCTTTACTTCCAGAGCCAGCTCTGTTATTATTTCAAGGATCTCTGCCCCAAGCTCTATTTTCCAGTGCAACTCAAATTGATGATGGAAAGTGATTTAAAATACATTTGGACTTTAATAAACTTGATTTGCAGATATTATGTTGAATAATATAATTGCATCATTTCTTGTACTTTCATTTTTTTCTGGTATACATAATGTTTAGCATTTGGAGACAATCGTCAGCACAGGTGAGATCCAAAACCCACTAAAGTCTATGAAACTTAAAAAAAATTACAATATTCTTGAGATTAACGGATTTTCATCTGAAATATTTTCGTAAGTATAGAATCATGTAGTATATATTATATACTAATGAAGGTTGATGCAATCTATACAGTTTCATTCTGAAAATGCTTTTGGAACATTCTGATGAGCTATGAAAGACCATCACTGGCAGTTTTAACCTAAGAATTTAGGAGAGAACTTTCTCTTCTGCCAACATAGTTGTGCGAGTGGCAGAAGCAGGCAGCACTGAGAAACAAATTCTTCAACTCGTCTGAACTCCTCATTCACTAGATTACCTCTGTCAACCTTGAAATTCACCCACATTTTCATGAGAAATTAAACAAAGATCTACATTAAAGAAAGGGCAAGATATGCCTTTTATACTTGCTCCAACACTCTCAACTACTCATTTGGGGAATTTTTCTTATTGCTGCTTTTGTTTGTTTGTCTGGGGTGCCACTGCATTTCTCAAGACACCCTTGCTTATTAATACAAGAAACACGTCTCCATTCTACTGCTGAACCAGAGCCATTTCCAAGGCACTCTCTGTGTGCTACCTGGTAAGAGAGAATGGTTCCTCCTTACCCAGCAAAATTTGATCAAAATTACTTCTGACCACTGTTTCTTACTTTCCTCTTTATTTGGTATGTATAAACTAGTAATAACTACATTAACTTCATTAACAGACCTGTGCTCATTTACATATTTACTGAGCCCAGACATCAGTCCTCACTTTGTATTTCTTTTAAGTAACAAAAATGGCATTCAGGTAGGAATGGTCACAACTGTGTACAGAAATACCTCTGCTACATAAAGATGCGGAGCTGTTTACTTGCTCCTGCTGTTTACACAACCAGCACACATGCTGAAGAGGCCTGTTAGATCAGAGAGTCTGACTTCTGGCAAACCAGCAACTAATCTCCAGGCAGAAGAACTTGTTTAATAAACACAGTGAGAGATAAGTGATCAAAACTGCCCATTACAGTCTAGGAAACTTCATTTACACTTGCGGTTCCTGCATGTATTTAAAGTAGCAGAGACGATGATCTAAAGCACTTGTGTTTTTCTTATCCTAACTAACGTAATAAAACAAAATCAAAGCAGATCAAATTGCTTGACTTTGCAAAGTCAGATTAGACACAGCATTTAAAATAACTTTACAGTAGTACTCTCTGAAACTCCACTGGTCTTTTAAAATTCACTTCAACTGTGGTTCATAAAAATTCCCCCAAAGGAATGATAACTTACTCCCGTGGTTTAGTGCTCACAAGAACCCGCAGGGGTTTTCTACTGTTTAAACATGCTTTCAGGAAGCAATCCACTTCACTGAAGGGTCGCAGAAAAACCAGGTCGCCGTTAATGGCAAAGATTTTTTTCCCAACTTCCAAGCCTGCCAACTAGAAAACAATGATAGTTGTGTATATATTTGCTTTTTATAACCATAATGTTTTCTGCTGCTGTCATGCAACCCCAATAGGAATAATGACATGCACGCTGCTTTTACATTCTTTATGCTTCGTTCATATATCACGCACAAAAGACTTAAACCATAAAACACTTCTAGAACTGGTTAAATTGACTTGAAAGGTACATTAAACACTCATTCTGAAGAGACCTAAATACAAGACTTGGCCTTAATCAAGATTTTATGATAGTATTAAAATATCAGTTAGTATTTGGAATAGCTAACACAACAGCTTTCCTTGAGACAATTTACTTTTTTATGACGCTACCTAATTTGTCCATCCATCATTCTCCAAAGGACCTAAAGCTTCTTTTCATAAAGACCTGATTACTATTCCAGTAAGTGAATATGTATTAAGTTCCAAAGCAAAAAAAAAAAATAATCCTTAAATATTTCATGGTCTTTGAGCCAATGGTATCACAAGCCAAATTGCTCACAGGTTTTAAACTGTGGTCTAACAAAAAAGGAACTGTAACTAGTTAGATGGCAGGAGTACCCAACTGCAGGTCAGGGCACAGACTAAACCATAGCACCATCTGAGATCATGGCAGAATATGACTGCTAGAAATCATCCTATATAGCACTGTGACTGTATTATATTATTGATTTGCTATATCTTTTTTTACCTTACATTTCTATGCAACCATGAGATTTAGAAAGGCTTGAAATCTGTGTCCAAATTTTTTATCTCATGGAAGAGACTCATTCTTTATCTTTACAGGTACAGAGACTCCCATGCAGTTCAACAGAATGTGAAATTACTCAAAGAGCATCTAAAACAAACAGAAAGGCTGTAGCTGTTTCATTCAGATTCTCAAATTCTAGACTTCATCCAAAGCTTGATACATCCTTTATTATGAAATATATCTAGTGCAACTCACAGACTAGCTCTATACTCAGTTTACACTCTACCAAAATTGTTTATTCCACTCATGATCAATGTCATCACTGGAATATTATAAAATGTATAAAAATAAAATGACCAATTTTGTATCACCACTCAATATGACAATTTACCTGAGCAGAAAGTAAGTGTTGATAATGGTCAGAGCAGCATTTTAAACAAAACCAAATCAAAAGAAGGGAAAAGGAAGATTCATAACCACAGTTTTCTTGGAAAGTTATCATTGTTACCTTCTACTACCATAGATTTTCCCCACTGATGTACAAAACATACACCTGTGATCAAGTGAATAAAACAGGGATAATTTATAATACTTGATACCTCAGCATTTGATCCTTTCTCCACCACTTTAATAATTGGCACCTTATTTTTATCTTCTAAACCAAAACCATAGGTGCCTTCATTAGATTTAATCTGAAAAATAAAATCGTTCAAAATACTGTTCAGCAAGGCATGAAGAACAGCTAAAGGACATCCCCATTAAACAAATACACACAGTGCTAATTTATTGTCACTACAATCAGTTTCTTCACTCATCAAAGCATACAATCCTTGGGTTTCACTCACCAGTAATGACTTGGCTATGACATTTTCCACTACTTTCAGATCATGTTTCATGAGTCTGTGCTTCATATTTGACCCTTCCATTTCTTCGTCCGCATAAAAACGAAACAGCAGTGGTTCATCTTTAAATTCACTTTTCTCTAACACTGTATGATGCAACACCACATGTATTAATGACTTTCATAAACCATAAAATACTGAACATGCATACACCTATTAAATTCCAGCAAACTATTTCTGCACGTGAATCCAGGGAAATACTGATTTTTAACATAAACAAGTATTTTTATTTGGATCCATTACAGACAGGTATCATTAAGCTCATTTTCAACCCCAACATCTGGATTTCACCAAGCTGAGGAAGACATATTAGCTTGAAATGGTTTTAGTGAAAATGCCAAGCACAAGGTTTCTTCCTAAAAAGGATTTAAAAACGTGGGTTTGAAAAGTTCTTATGGATAGCTGCTGGAGATGCTCAGCACCAAGTTCTAGCACTCTCCAGGTGGTGAAGGATGGCAGGTTCAGTATTAGAAATGTGTTTGGTGGGAATGCGGAAGCAACTAGAACAGCAAGCGGACGCAGTCTGGATGTTTAAAAGTGCAAGGAAAAAGAATGAACAGTGCCAGAGAGGACTAAGCTAAACAAGCTGATAAGAAAATGATTTCTTCCTCTTTTCATTTCAGTAAATGACCTACTCCTTGAATCCTTTCACTGAAATCTTCCCTCTGATGGTATTAAATTTGACCTTGTTCACCTCATTTTTTGTTCTGCACATATCTTTGCTCTCGTCTTCCTTCTTTGTTCACTACTGCCCTTATGATTTTCTCATTTTTCTACACTCCACTCACTCCACTTTCTCCTATTGTCACCACTTCAGCTTTTTCTAAAGGTCATGCTCCTCCATTCATTCCCAAAAAAACATCTCCTTTCTTTCCTATGTGTTTCCTAATTTTTTTATCATCTCATCTGTGCCAACATGTATTACCTGATTAAGAAACTTCTTTCAGAGTGGCTCATAAAACCAACACACACACACACACATTATTCAGAGGATGAATTCCTCAGTGCGTGCTATAAAACTGACTGAAAATAATTTTCAGAGTATACAATAGCTTTTTTTTTTCTTTGAAGATTGTAGCATAGATCTCTTCAGCAATACAATGAAAGAACTTCCTATCCCTTCTGTAATATCTTTACCAGCCCTTGCATTTCCTTTCAACTATGTAGATAGCATTAAATGAAAGGTAAGCATAGCTTGCACAGAATGTATTTACTTACCATGGTGCATAAACCCATTATCACAAAGAGCTACACCGAATATCATAGCTTCCTCCCTCGTCCGGCAATCCCCCTGTTAAACCATAGCAGATTTTTTTCATTTACTTTAATATAGCGTCAAAACACACAATAGCATAAACTCACAGGGTTGGCAATGGTTGTAGATGGTATTTACCACACACACACCTTTATATACACATTTATTGCACACATACTAAACAGTATATACATGCTTATCATAAAACCATAGAATAGTTTGGGTTGGAAGGGACCTTTACATGGTATATATCTTTACAGTTACAAATAAAGATGTAAACATTTTAGCAACACTGCATTCCCCGTAAAAATTTAATATAATAGAATGTAAAAGTGTCAAAGTTTTTAACTTTTATCTTGTAAAACTGGTGCATGTTGACTGAGTGAACAGGATACCCTGTTCTTGTTCCTAGTTTGCTTAAAATAAAACAGAACTAATGACTGAAAATTACTCTTGTCCATCTAGTTAGTAATTCAGAGTTTTCAGAGACTATCCATTTCATTTTAAGCCATGAACAGTTACAAAACTAAGTCTCATTAAAACATTTAAATTGCATGTAAGAAAGATAAGCACAAAAGGAATAAACAGCATGTCTGATTACAGCCGATTTCAGTTACTTTACTAGTTTAAGAGGAACATTAACATTTACATGTGCCCTTCTAACTAATCTTACACAAAGCGTCTGCATGTTATTCTGCTTAAGACATCGTTACCTTTCAACTTAGAATTTAAATGAAAAACATAAATCCAAAGGTGTATACTTGCCTGTGCAATCAACCAGTCTATGAGTTTGTTAGCCATGACCACAGATTTGTAGGTTCTCAAGTGATAATCCTTATCCCTGTTCAAAATGAAAAAGAAAAATCAAACGAAAACTCAAAAGAGCCTAAAATACTTGCATTTTATAAACAATTTAGTGCAAGCATGAACTGAGAATTTTGTAATGGTTCAGAAGTTGCCTCTGGGGTAAAAGAGCAAGTCAAACCTTTTAGTATAGAAAGAAAGGAGGAGGCTTACTTATCTTGCTTGGGCAATAATGTCACTGGAGTATAAAGGCACATGGGACTCTCCAAAGGAGGTAATGGAGTGTTAGTAAATATGCAGTCAGTATATAAGCATATCAATCGGGACCTACAAGGTTCTAAAACTCTAAAAAAAGGTCATACTGAACGGAGTCTGTAGTCATTTAATGATTCAGTTATGCTTTTTGTCTTTATAGCCCTTCAGTTTTGTTTGATTATTCCCAAGAGACCAGTCTTCAAAGGATGGGTTAGGTTCCTGCATTCAAACACAGTATCTTCAGATTACATACTTCTTCCATTTCACTCTTTTAAGGATTTCCCAATTTGACTCACCTAATTACTGGGGTAAACAGACTGTGAAGGCGACAGTACAATCGTACACCCTGTTAAAGAGAAAGATGAGGTTAGTTAGCCACACAACAGAGAACATAAAAGGAATGGGTGCAGTAAGGAAGCCTATATTTATATAGTAAAAAGCTCTGTTCAAATCTCTATATATTTTCATGTGCCAACAAGTAGTATTTCCAGACAAAAATACTGACAAATAAATTATGAAAAAGAAAACATTTCTAATCTAAACTTTACTGAGACACATGCAAAAAGGCTTAGCTTTAAGGTAGCATTAAAAAATTCTGAAGGTATAGTACATTGAAAGAAACATAGACAAAACCTGAAAGACACAGCAATGTTTCCATGCATTAACATTTTTGCAATCACTGGTTGCTATTCTACACACAAAGTAACAATTTAAGATAAAACCCTTGCACTCGATTATATGCATCAATTTATTTACAAATTTAAATTATAAATAACCAATAAACTTAAAAAGTGCAAAAAGGTTCAAAGATTTGAATTTTTTTCAATTAAAAACATAGGGCATTTGTAGGAGTTAAGAAACTACTATCGGAAAACTTTTTTAAAAAAGAAATTGACTTAGTATTACTTAGCAGACTATCAAAAAACAATTTATAACCTGCAAGAACAACCATGCATAACAATTAAAAGTTATGTCAAAATAGATTCCATCCTATGTTCCTATGCCTTGTAGCTCAGTATTGAGAAGATTCTTTTAGATATACCTTGCATTAAGAAATACTAGCAGAAAAGTAAATAACACTATAATGTAATACCCAAAAGCTGACATTTTCTACCACCTCAAATTCATGAAAGTTTGAATATTAATGAGTTTAAAGGCAACCTTCTTCAATCATTTTAGGATTCTATGCTTATGCCCAGTAGTGCGGACAGCACTACCTATCTGTGTTTAAACATCTATATGACTGCAGATCTACCACCTCGTTAAGGCACTAACAAATGACACTCAGATTTAAGAGAAAAATCAAAACCAATTTTCCACATGTAGCTTCATATCTATTAAAATGGACTGAAAAATACAATAGCCCGAAACGCCAGCTCCACCCATAAACATGGCATATGAAAACATTAAATAATAAAACCAACAAACCCAACAAACTTTAATTTTGCATTTAAAATGCATAATAGCAAGCCAAAATCTTACCTTACAAACAGCAAACTGAATTGGATTCACATAAAAATAGAGACAGGCAAGCATGAAGGGATGTTTTTTACGCTAGCATAACATTTTACATTATTTTTCAAGCAGAACCTCCATTTCTGATGTGTTCTTCCTAATAACAGCAAGTATTCTAACCTGTACCTTAGAAATCACATCCTGCATCTCATTTCTGGGGTAGTATGTTCCATCATCATATCGGAATCTGTACAGCATGTGTTCAGGTTTGAACTGGTGCTTATCTGTAACTGAATTAAAAAAAAAAGTTAAAATAATTATTTATCGTTAGATGATTTTCTGGAGAAATAAAGAAGAAAGAAGTGGGCCAGCATCATTTCATCTAATAACAGCCAATTACACAGCAACTGGTTGACTTCAGACGGGGAGGTCAGGAAGCCCAATTAGATCATTTTCCTTAAGTTCCTTTATGTGACTGGTGATGATATTTCTCACAATGTTAAAGTAGTTTAGAACAAACCAATTTCAACTTACAGGGCAAAGAATTCAGAAAGACAAAGAGATAGGGAACAACCTGAAAAACTAGGTACTCAAATCTTTCTAGCTTTCATCACTTTTGCAAAGCTTTATCAACAAAATAACCAAATAAAGCTTCTTTTGCAACTGTTTGTATTATTTTTCCACATGATTCTCTGTTTTAATTCTGTGGAGGCCAATCTCGGATGAGTAAAGACACACATCTGACCAGTCCTGCCCTGGAGAGAAAAGGGAGAGTGAACATCTTTGTCTATATAGAGCCAGCTGAAGGTCTTAAGCACAAGAGACCAGCAATCATTTTGAAGGTGTTGATAATCCATTTCCCCAAAGACTTCTGAAAAAGGATCTTAACAGATGAATTTCCAGAAATTCACAACATTCCAGCAACAAACCCCACAACTTCAAGTGTTTTGTCAAAACAGTCATACCACATGATACAAAACACCTGGAAACAGGTGTTTTCCTTCTGAAAAACAGCTGATTTATTTGATGGCTGAGGACAGCACTAGGACTAGCACTATCCTAGCATAATTATCTTGTATTAATTGCTGTTTTGCTTGCAGAAATAAGTTTTAATTTTGAAACTAAAGGAGAGTACTGTAATGTCTCCATTAATCAGAGTAACAGGCCTGATAGTGTTAGGCAATTCTTCTGTGTATGCCTTCCTACACCAAGTGATTAAACCATCATACATTATTTTCTTCAGAAAACGTAGTTAGGCATCATAAACTTTGTATAGTAAGGTGCCTTCTGTCTGCACTGTTTTTCATGCCCCTTCAACCTCTTCAGTATCTCCACACATCATCTGATGCATAAACATAAAAACTGGACTTCAGTGGTTTCACCAGTGTCATGTGCCAGAGCAAAGTAACTTCTCTACCTGTATTTGATGTATCTACTAATAGTAAAGCCCATGACACTATTCCGATTGCCTTGAACTGATGGTTCACACTAATGTGGTTATTCAAAATAACCCCTAAGATCTTTTACATGTCATTGATTATCGGTAAATCAGATATGGACTACAGAATTTTCACATGTAATGCCTACTATGAGTATCCAACTGAATTTTAATGGATTTCAATCATTTTGACTTGGCGGGGGGGGGGGGGGGGGGGGGGTGGTGGTGGAGAGAAGGCATCTTCTAGTCCTGTAATTAAAAAAAAAAAAAATTAAAAAATCATACTGTTGAAGAAAAAACCATATTCTACTATATCAACACACAGTACGAGTGTTTTAAACCAGCAACTACATAAAATAGAAAAAACACCACCAGGACGGTATTGCATAAGGCCAAATTGCTCATCACCATTACAGAGACGTGCTGAGAGGGTACCAGGACTACAAAGCACCTTTTCTTTCTTACATGCCAATGACAAGCAGAGCAGGCCATGTCCTCAGAGGAACACAAGCATCGCTGTCTTTGCAGCGCCTACTTACATAGAGTGCACCAGAAACTAAGGGAACAGGTCCACAGAGCTGACACATCCTGAATTTCAAACACTTAAAGCTGATAAAAGGCTGCATTACCATTAAAATAAGGAACCTCAGGTTGTTCTGCATGTCATTCCCAACAATATACCTATATTTTGTGTTGGGATAGATATTTATATGTCACAGACTAAGAAAAGGGAACTAATCCAGGTGTAAACCTTTTTTTTTCTTTTTCGGGCCAAGGTAGTTTTGACTCAGATCAGTACACCAGTCCAAGAACCTGCATAACTACATAAATACTTATTCATTTTAAAACTATCTGATACTCAGATTATCTTTGTAACTACTAAGCTCCTTACTGCCTTGAGAGGAAGCTTCTATCTAATAATCAGTGGCAAGTGACTGGACAAAATATCTCAGCCTGATGGCTGATAGAAGTAATTTCAGATATTAGAGAATACCACCACATGGATTTAAAATAGCAACAGATAAACGGATTTTTCCCATTCGCAAAACTGGTGGAGAAGAGAAATACAAAACAAAAATGAAAATAAAAAAACGAATTTTGTACTTGCAAGAGTTCGCACACCAGGAACTAAAACAATGCCCGTACCACATGGTTCTGTCCTTACTAAAATGAAGCCGCACAGTGAAAATAATGCCCAGCAGAGTGAATATGTGAAGTTTAACAAAGCCCTCTGTAACATTTGCAATGTAAATAACAGCCAAACTTTCTTTCTCCCTTGCTCCCTCTGTGAAAACAGATGGTTCATTCAACTTTATTTTAGGAATTCTGTTTTCACTGAACCACAGCTGGATCCACTATTCAGAGTGGCACGTCTGGCTCACATTTCTATGCTCTAATATAATTACCCTTTTATCTCATGAAATTACACAATATTCATTTAACTCTCTATTGTGAAAGTCTATGGGTGTATTTGGGATATAAATTATAAGATCATGAGAAGAATCTCTGGCAACAGAATCATTCAATTGAAAACTATTCTCTGTGTACAGTAAACATAATAGCATCTGACATTTGAATGATGGTGGAGGAAAATCATGTAGACTGACATTAAAGGATGAAAGACTACATGACTACTGATGTATAACCTTAATGTTTTTCCTCCTACTCTGTGAGTGTTTAAAATGCATACAGCTAAGTGGCACTCTGTTACTCCTGCTTTCTTTTCAGTCAAGGTCACTGAAAATATCATGGCAAAGAACTTAAAAATTAATTGCTGGCTGAAGCATAGAAGACTTAAAATGCAATTCAGCATAAAAGTATCAATTCTAGTAACTGCACAATGTAGTGAAAATAAGGAAGGCCTTAACACTCAAAAGACTAAACTGTTGGGTCCAGGTTGGATTCCACCAGCTCCTCTTGTAATACCTAACACATAAGCAGGCATATTTATCAATAGCCAACTGTGACTCACTCTCTTCTCTAATTCTTAGTTCAACATGTATCCCCAGAAAGCCTGGCCTTAATAAAAGGTTTAAATCCTTACAAGCAGTTCTCTGTTCCCCAGAATTTATTTTTGCTTACAAGAGAAGAGCAACATTTCTGTGTGATGTTGTGCTCCCAAAACCATAAATGTAATCTGATTAAATTAATGGAGCCTCTCGCAGTAAATCTGCTAGGCGTGGACAATGGTTCCATGAGGTCCCTGCAAGGATATAATGCAGATTCAACAACCTGTCTTGCCTTAACAAGACCATCTTTTTTTCAAACAAAATTAAGTCCACTCTAATTACAACAATTACACTGAAAGCAAGTAAGTTAAAACCAATTATATTTACCATGATGGATAATGCCATTCTCTAACAAAGCTTGTCCAAGATGAACACCTTCTTCAGATTTGTGTATCTCTCCGATTTCCAACAACCAGGACACAAATTCACTGAAATGAAAACAGATACAAAAAAAAAAAAAAACAAACTTTAAGTCATACTACCAGATCTACTACATTTCCCACTCAATTACTAGTGTTTCTTACTATATTAGGAAGTGACGCTTAAGCCTAATAATCTTCAGAATGTCATACCACCTTTACAAACCCTCTTATTTCAACTTTTTATTATTATTTTGACATAAATACATATGGTTTCCCTTGAGATGTCTTTTTCATTCAGAAGTTTTACCTGCATGGTTTACCTTGAACGTGGTAAAGACTTTCATGTTTTCTGGGATTTCCTAAATTATCACAGCCACATTTGACCAGATGGTTAAATATAAGCCAGTCCCAGGCATAGCTACTTCTCTTGCCCAGGACAGATACGTCATGAAGTCAGAACATTATCACAGTACAACAGAATTATTATTTCCAAAGTGAGTAAAAAACATCCTGAGCACACATAAGAAATATATACTGCACTGCAGGAAATGTCTGGCTTGTACTGAATTTATAGCACATAAGTTATTTACATGTGTGTTCCAAATCTAAACAGCAGCGTAGTGAGGTAGCGCAACATGCACAGTCATGGGTTTCAACTGGTGACCCAAGGACCAGCACAAGCATACTTCCAAAGGGTCTACTTCAAATACAGCACAGAAAAGAAGCTATTTGATGGTAGGTTTAAATGTTTCATACATGACTTCTCTTTACCTGCTTCCAACAACTTGAGCGAGGGAACATGATTCAACCCTAACTCAATAATTAATCCTGGTTTCAATTCTCATCAGCTATGTGACTTCTGATGGCACATGAAAATTGCCCAAATTTCATTTCCACTTTTGAAGCCAGTGATGAGTTTCTTCACTAGAATGTGTTTGTGTAAATCAGTCATTGTACTTTATAGAAATACTTTCCAGGCTTAACTATCTTACAGTCAGATACAACAACTGATAACCCCTTCACCTACCCAACTAATTTTGTTGTCACACACATATTTTTAGGGTACCTATTGCTTTCTCTTTCTCTTGCATTTAGTCTTCTTAAGCCATAGGTATATCTCATTAGAAAGATCACCCTGATAACAGGGGTACATTTTTAAACATGTAAATTTTAGTTAGGCAGGAGAAGGACAGAAACAGTTTTGAGAGCAAGATATTTTTTTTTTTAAGTGGAATAATCTAAGTATTTTAGACAAAAATTCATTAAAACAGGTTGGGAAATATTTCTTTAAATAATCTATTTGATGCATTCTCATATTTTCAACAAGCCTTTACAGCCTTGTCTCTTTAATAAAGCTATTTTGGAACATGAGTGCACATCCATAAATTTCAGACCAATTTACATTTTGGCTAAATTCTGGGAGGCAAATAGGCCTAACAGACACTACAAATAAAGTGTGGTTTCCACAGAATCCCAAAGAAGATGTAAAATGTGAGCTTAGCTGGTAAAAAGTCATGCTATAAAATGCATATTATACCTTCCAAGAAAGCATTTGGGAAAAGTGGTCAATTTCCTCTTCCTGTCTTTGATGAGATTCCCTTGTTTACACATCATTTTGTACAGTCGTTCTCCTTGCTCAGAGATCATCACCCAAGTGTCCTGTTCCATACCCAATTTCAAACCTGCCAAAAATGCATTAAAGTTTTATGAAGTGATATTGCCATTATATTTCAGTACTTTTCCTAAAATGGAGGAGCAATACCAATATTTTACATACAAAAAAAGGTAAAGGAACTGCCTTCTGTTATTTTTGTCACAATCAAGTTTAACCATGAACATCTGATCTTCATAAAGCAAAATCATATTATATCTTTTAACTTCTCATAGCAAAGTTAAAATGTTATTATATTGACATAACCATTGATATTGTAGCAATAAATACTAATGCTGTGATTTTTCAGACTTCAGTATATGAATATTTGCAATGGAATAGTCATGTCTTCACAAATTCTAAAAAAAAAAGGGCCATACCATATGATAATAAACACCATACAATAATAAAAATGTTTTCACTTACACAAGACTTTTTCAAATTTCCAGTTAATAGTAGATAATTATCTGTTATAAATGTATTACTTTCATATAAGATTAATTCACCCCTTTTCCACAAAAGCATATACACAACTTCATTTCTATTTCCTTCAGATTTTTTTTCAACAACATGAAGACTATTAAGGGTTTTATTTCAGTATTTCTTATTGGGTTGGTTTTTTACCCCTGCATCTAGAGGAAATCATTATGTTTTCTGAGTAAGAGATGATCAAAACCAGGTTTTGTTGAATTGTGCATCCCACCAGCCACTCACAGAAGTTTGTGCTTCCAAGAAGCACCACAGACCTTCATATCCCATGTGCTTTCTCAATCAACAATTTTTAGTTCTGGACAAAACTATACATTTCTAGAACAACTTATGTACATGTTCTCAGTTTCTGTTCAGATTTTCGCATTTTTAAAACTGCAACTGTAGGTATTTAATCTGAGAAATAGTCTGCCACTTGTTTAATTCTGAAAATATAGATTCGATTTAGTTTGTAACAGTCTTGCAAAGGAGATGAAACACTGTTTTCACATGTGCAGTCACTTGGGCTTCACTGTAATTGCCTATATACACACACATGAACAGGCTCCATGTCTTACTAAGTAAACATACAATTAAAGCATCTTTATGTTCACAGTGAATGAGAAAGTGTTAGAGCTGCATTTAGATATGCATTTGAATTCTAAAAAGACAGCTGTTTGGTTCCCAAGTCATTTGGCAACTTGACTGCAATTAAGTTGATACATCCTGCTTTGCAAGAGGTGTTTTTTCCTGATATTTTGAAAAAGAACAAATCACTGTGTTGGAGGAAGTGGATAAATTTCTAAGTCGATAGAGTAACAGAGACATTCAAGAAATATTTTTTAAGATTCTGTGTTGCAAGCTGAGTCTAAGTGTGGACCAAATCCTCCCTTCTTTCTTTCATGGTTGTCTCCTTGGAGGCAAACCCACTGAGAACACCAAGAGCTGAAAATTTCCCCAAATCATCAAATGTTAAAATCCTAAGACACGGCCTGACTTTGTGATGGCTACCTCGCACTTGGCAAGGTTTACCTCAAACCTACTTCTATTACCAGCTGCTTGATAGTATAGCGTGAAATAGAATGAATACATCAACATAAAATAATCCTACTCTTTCAATTTCTTACATAAAGGTATCAAGAGTGTAAGGGAGCCAAGAAACTGAGCAGGGAAGTGGGACTGGTTAAAAGCCTTTCTGTCAGTAAGACAAGGGCCTATACAGAAGCAGACAACCTCTTCTTGTTGTATTTGACACTCTCTACCACACTGCTTTTTCATTTTAAAAATTATGGGGTTTTTTTGACATCTGAGGCACATTTTTAGCTTTTCTATGAATTCCTGGTGGCATTATTAACTAGCCAGTGCTCAGACACCCTAGTTGAAACTCTGGTCCTATGGCAAATGTTCTACAAACATTCAGTATTCAAATTTAAAACACCAAAGAAAGCATTGTTAGTCTCCATTTAGAACAAAGGCACAAAGCAATGGCTACCACAACAGGCTACAAAAAAATCTATGCAGACCAGGAAAAGAAACCCAGATCTAACTACAAGGTCATATTTTCCTTCAATACCAAGGCTACAAACGTTGTTACTGATTAGGATATTTAAGCTTGCAAATGAAATTAGCTCCATGAGATGATGATGCATCATCTTTCCCTGGTTCTACTTTGTGCTGGGTTCACCTTGAATACATGTTATTCATGGTCACATTTGAGATCAAGATTGTATTTTATCCATGTATTCTTCCACCTTAATCCAGTTATTCAAAATTATAGTGGTTGTCAAATTGTAGTTTCTTACTTTCTTTTGCAAGGGAGAATACCTCACAGATGGGATTGTGAGTATATTTTGTACCACTTCATGCTGGATCATCTGCATGGAGATCCAACACAGAAAACCTTCTCATTTCAGTGATTCAAATGACCAGGCACAAAAGGCAATCAATGCATACAAATCCCATAAGGTATTTAGGATAGACAGTCACATACCACAAACCACAACAGTACACAGGCCTCAATAAAATTATGATTATTTATACTGCTTCAGGATAAACTATAAAATCATAGCTTAAATCATCTCCCAGTTTACGAAACAATGTTCACTACCAGAATACATGATTAAAGACATTATCCCCTTCCCAGTTCAAAGTTTGATTTATTTTTTCCAAGCTGGTATCCATAAACGTTCAGCTGAACTTGACACCACAAGTTTGTGTGGCAGCTGGTTTTGCTTTATATCTCAACATAAAAATACAGCATGGCTTTCTGGTGAAGCAACACAAGGAAGTTTATTAACATACCTTTTCTTCTCTCTCGCTCTTTCAAAATAGCTTCCAGCCATTCTTGCTTCTCTTCAGGGGTTTTTGCCATGCATACAAACCATTTGTTCTTTGCTGTGTTGTGGATCTTCCAGCCATTTATAACAGTGTGGCCACTGCTGTGATAGTCAGCTGGGAATAGATACAATGGCTTAAAGAGCACCGATTATTTAAAAAGCAATAGTTGTTGCAATTACTAAGAACTTCTGTCATTACACATAAAACTCAGGAAATATAAAAGAATAAAAATTACTTTAAAGTTATCTGCTGCTTGTGAACTACATTATATCTTAAGTTGTACTTTCAACTTCTAGTAAATAATGACCTCCTTAAAATGTGACAGAATTGCCTAGCATATGGAAGAAGGTATAAACCTGACACTAAAACAGGCAGAGTCTATTAAAAGACCAGATCACAGTACTTGGAGTACTTTTGTTCATGTTAAACTGTAATAAATAATTCCTTTAAAAAGCAGCATTGTGGTTTTGCCCCTTAAATCACTCAGAGCTCCCATGCTGATTGAATGATTTAGTACTAATTTTTTTAAAAAACATTAAACATGCAGGGGAAAAATACAATTTCCTTTTGACAAGCAAGCAGATATTCTTCCTTTACTGCTGTAATATTTGAGTTTAAAATGCTATTCCGTAAGTCTTGCTCAGAAATTAGCTACAGATACTTCCTTTCCAAAACTAACACCCTTGAATATCCTTCACTAGGATTACATGCATTTTCTGGAAGAAAATTTCTGTGCATAAATGCCTCATGATAACTAACATATTTGCATAAAGTACAGATTAAAACTAGAAGTAGCAACTTCCATACCAAATACTAGGAAATCAAAGGTAAACATTTTCTCACCAGAAACTCATTAAGAGGCAACTCCTAGGGCCAGCCCTGAACAACTGTAATAATAACAGAGCTTTCTACCTTATAAATACTTTTTCATAATTCAGCCCTATTTTGTACAATGAGATGGGATTTTTCAAAAATGAAGCCCTTGTTGAAATGCTCGCTAAGATTTATCATAAATCTCAGCAGACATGCTAGTATCCTTTCAATAACTCTGCATTTTAATTAGATGGAAAGCAGCCAAGCTTTGTATACTGGGCTGGGAAACGTCAGGAACTACTAAAAATCATGAGACTGATGGCCGATTTCTAAACCAACAAAACTTTCTAGTACTCAAAGTGTGTAAGAAAGTGCAAGTAAGTCTATGATGGGAAAAAGTAAGTTACTTTTTCAGCATCATGTTTATACCACTTACCTATTTATCGTATTTCAATTCACGTAACCTATTTATAATATACTTTGCCTCTTTAAAAACACTATTTCTTGAAGACTAGCCATCATTCATGCACTGTCAAAAAATCAGAGTCAAAAGTCAGGGAAAAGAAAGAAGCCTCAGACAGAAGCTCTCAGTTGACAGACTGCAGACCTTTGGAGATCAGAGGCAAGAGCACTGGAGGAAGGAAGGTTAACGTCCCTTTGTATTATTTAAGCATATACTTATAAACCTTGCATTATGGCATTAGCTGCACCTTTGTGGGTTTTTTTTCATTAAGGTAGAGGTTAATACAGATAAAACTACCGGGTGATATTTTTCTTGTGGTGTTTGTTACCACGCACCTGTCATTGCAACACCCATGTAAGGAAATATTATGATCTGTAATGCAGTGAACTGAACAGAATTATGGCCAAAAGAATAAAAAATAAAAAATGATGGCTCAGGCTCACATTTGGACTTAGACTCGCACAATTTACTCTGGACAGAAATTTGGTGTCAGCTTAGTAGTTTAATTCGTAAAGAAATGGCTCATCCAGACACTTGAATATCCCGACATAGAGATGACATTTTAAACATGCAGCTTCCTAGGCATGTGAAATTCTGTAACTGATAGTTTGACCACATTTACCTCATGCCATTACAAAGTCACATTCCGTGAAAAAGCCCAATCACTCAGCTAAGTACTAAGACTGCCTAATGTTTACAGACGGTAATGGGTTCAGGTGGAGGAAAATGGGTAGCTATCACCCAGTTTTGCAATTCTAATCCTCTCCTGTAATGCCCAGCTCGACTCCAACCTCTGCCTTTAACTGCAATACTCCTTTTGCTCCCTGTGTTCCCTATGACTACAATCCTCCAAGACTCCCATGGGCAATTTTTTACCTTAATACACCCATGCCCATTGTCTCCTGAAGAGCATTTCAGCCTCATGCTATCATCCCATATAAACTCATACCTCCTTTGGACTGGCTATTAGACAAAAACTGGTCATGCACTGCAGATGTGCTGGTCGGCCAGCCAGAAGATGGCCAGCTGCACAGGGTATATGCACATTCTTCACATCAAAGCAATCACAGCTGTCAGTCAGGCCAAACAAATGATTTGCAAGCCTGACATAGTGGTTACAGAAGGAAGGAGAGCATGAGACTTCAAGTTACTTCATGCAAAGTCTGAACAAGCATGCTTATCAAATTATTAAGCTTCCAGCTTCCCAACAGAAGGTTATGAAAGATGACATCATCTTCTAATGATACCTAGTAATACATTAAAGCTTGTCATTTGATCTGTAATATATATAAAATATAAATTCAAGACTCAAACCTTTGAAATGCCTAAAAAGCAATTTGTCACAGCCATATACAACAGATTTTTTTTCTTCCCTTAAAAAGCCAATCAGAAATATTTGTATTGAAATCCTTACAAGTTCTTCAGACTTTAGGTTCTTAGGAGCCCCAGTGCTCAGAAATACTAAGGAAATAAATACTGTATAATATCAATTCCCTACCTCCTTTGCACAGTTTTTGATGCAATCTCTGTTTATTAACATCATGTAGTGGTTTTCTCTGTATCATGCGTGCCTCATTTCAAGACAACAGGGGACAGAACTTAGTATAAGCAACCATAAATCTGGTACTTCCTAAGACCCAACTGCTTGTCTTCATAAACTAAATCACATTCATTTAATGGCTGCTGAATGCCTTTAGAAATACATTTTTCTCTCAAAATTTAGTTTAAAAAAAATGAATACAGAAAAAAAATAGCATCACAATATATCTACCTTTCAAATACTTGCAAGTGGTTGTGTAGCCGCATTCTTTTAAGAAGACAATAGTCTGCTCTGATAAATAAAATGCATTCCACTTTAATCAATGCAATTAAAAAAAGGCAGAGTGCTTCATCATGCTGAAACAAAAAAGAAAGCTTACACCAACTGTGATGCTCAGCCAAGGCCTAATTTCACCAAAGAAAAATTGCTTTTCAGAAAAAACTTTGTTAATTTCTGCAGGCATGTCATTAGCATGACAATAAACCACACTGGGAATCTGTTTTCCTATTTCTATGCTTCTACTTACAAACAAGGAAGACTACATTCCTACATCTATCAACACTGAATGCAAACGCTGTCAGTAACCCTGTTCCCTGGAGCCCTGTGGTTCCTTATAAAAAGTGAGAAGAGGATCCCAAAATCTACAGTAAAGAATTGTGTAACTATCATCTAAAGTGAGAAGTCTTTACTGTCTATAAAGAGACCCATGAATAATACACGAGAAAAAGTCATGCGTAGATATGAAAACATAAGCACTCTCCACTCAGAGCTTCCACTCTAGATTAAGAAATATAGAAAGTGATAGGAAAAGATGATTAAGGAGAATAAAATAATACAATACCAAAAAAGGCACATGCAAAGCTAATGCGAATGAGGCTCAGACGATCAGATTACTACCCTTGGGAATGAGACAAGACAAAAAGAACAAAGCAGAACAGTACTAGGTTACAGCTCAAATGCGGATGACTACAGGGGATGAGAAACAAGACAGCTGGGTGCAACAAATGAGAACAGTAAAGACAGAGAAAGGTTAAAGAAGGGCATCATGATCTCAGTGAAAGAAAAAGTGTCAGTGTGAGTAGAAGGAATACACTTCTTGACTACAAGGAAGGAAAAAAGGGTTTTGAAGGTTTGTTTTTTTAAAGGGAGAGAGGATGGCAAGGAAAGGCCATGGAAAAAACACAGACACTTCCATATTTCAAAGAGAACCATAGAAAGGAGGGATGAAATAGCAGTAACTACAATAATAAAAAAAAAATGAATGTAGAATATTGGACAAGCTGAAACGGAAAAGACGGAAAATGAGGGGCTATGGAAAAAAAAAAACGCAGGTAAGAATAAACATAGAATAATTTGAGTTGGAATGGATCTTTAAAGATCATTTAAACAGGGGGAGTCAGGTTAGATATAAGGAAGAAGTTCTTTACTGTGAGGGTGGTGAGGCACTGGAACAGGTTGCCCAAAGAAGTGGTAAATGTTCCATCCCTGGCAGTGTTCAAGCCCAGGTAGGACAAAGCCTTGGGTAACATAGTCTAGTGTGAAGCATTCCTGCCCATGGCAGGTGGGTTGAAGCTAGATGATCCTATCTATTCTATGATTCTAGTCCAACTCCTCTGCAACAAGCAGGGACATCCTCAAACACACATCAGGTTGCTCAGAGTCCCGTCCAACCTGACCTTGAATGTTTCCAGGGATGGAGCATCTACCACCTCTAATAATGTAGAAATCAAAATAAGCAAACCATTAACTAATGTCTCAGAAGTGTGGAAAGGAGGACGGATTTCAGAAATATTGCATTTATAAAAGTGACAAGATCTGATGTGGCTCAGGAAAGCAAGCAGGAAGGAAGTATGATAGCCTCCAGTACCGTTTGCAAGGCTACAGGAAATGGAGACAGTAGCAAAATTTCCTGTGGCTGAAGGAAATGTCTGGAGTGGAGAGGAAGACAACTGGTTTACAGCAAATTATATTTGAAGATTCACTGAGGAAGTAAACAAACGGACAGAAAGGAAAACGGACAGTGTGAAAGTGATCAAGAACTGGAGAGCTAGAACAAGCAAATGAAGAAAAACAAGACAAGACAGTCTTAGAAGGAAGAAGAAAGAAATATCTGCTATAGCCAACACTGAAAGCATGGATATGAAGGATAAGACAGTGAACGAGAAAAAGCTACAGCCTTTTTGGAATATTCATCATAAAGAAGACAGTGGGTATACACCACTGCGGTCACAGTAACATCAAGAGTTACAAGAGATGCTGTCTTAGAAAGTAAAAAACTTTAAATGGAAAAACTGTCTTTTATTTCTAAAACATATATAAGGAAGATGAAGCAAAATAAATTAAAGGTAGCCAAATAATACATGACATGAAAGAGCAAAACACTCAGCTCTGTTTTGCATAAACAAAGTGCTGAGATTTCATATAAATAAAGCTAACAATTTGGCAGAAAAGGAAAAAGCAGGATATAGAATATTAGATAAACTCTATTCAAGTCAGCAAGGCTTGATGAAGTTCATTATGGTATACATATAGATATGTCTAAACCACTAATTAAATTGGTGGGCCTGGCAAAGGACATACCCCAAAACAGATGTCAAGGAGGTCCTACAAAATATGTCTATCAAACAAGGAGAATGAAGTGCGATGCCATAGTGCTCTACCATTCAGCATTTTCCACTAGTTTTATCAACAGCTGAAATGATTCAGTAGTAACATTGTTCATGGAACCAAGACATGAAGCATTGAAAGAGATTTGGGGAACAAGATGTGAATTCTGAATGCTTAATAATTTGTGGAAATAGGTAGATAAAATTCAGTACAGAAAGAAAGTAATTATTCATGAGGAATAGTTTAGTCCTGTGAGGAGCAGGGAGTTGGACTTGATGGTCCTTACGGGTCCTTTCCAACTTGAGATATTCTATGATTTTAGTAGGACCTACTCTCAGACATTAACACAGTGTAAGATATATTGGGATAAGCAACAGTACTGCATAAAAAGACCTGGTATTGTATTCTAAAACACGAACTGAAAATTAAAAAAAAAGAATGCTCTCAGAAAAGCCAAATAATCCTGAGACTAATAATAGATATCCCTCATGCAGCACTACAGTAATTATCCTGATCTGCTTGGCCCCAGTGAAGTTTCAGCTCTGGACACCTCAAAATACAAAAGATGCAAACAAACTGGGGAAAAAAAAAAGAAAAAAAAAAAAGATAAAAAATTCAAAAAACAACCTGAAACTCCAAAGGACACAAAAAGTAATAAAAACTTAGAAAACACAACCCATGACAAAAGACTGAAAGACTTAAAAAGAAGAGATGATGGAAAAACACAACAGTCTTCCAATAAATTAATTTATTGCAATAAGAACAACAGCCAAACTACTCTCAAAGTCTATTCACTGAAACAAGAAGTGAGGAAACATTTTTGTCCTGGGTTTAGCAGTAGCAGTCAGTTTTTCTCCTTCTTAGTAGCTGGTGCAGTGCTGTGTTTTTGACTTTCAGCCTGGGAATAGAGCTGATAACACCGATGTTTTCAGTTGTTGTTCAGTAATGTTTACTCTGACCAAGGACTTCGTGAGTCTCATGCCCTGCCAGGGAGGAGGGGAGGCCAGGAGGAAGGAGAGACAGGACACCTGACCCAAGCTAGCCAAAGAGGTATTCCATACCACAGCACGCCATGCTCGGGGAGGTAACTGGGAGTTACCTGGAAGGGCACGGGCTCTCTTTTGGGGGTCGGGCTCGTTTCGGCAGGTGGCATTGTATTCGATTCTCCTCCCCATCCCTCTGAGAGCAGGGAGGTGGGGGGGGAAGGAAAGAAAGAGGGAGGAAGGGGGGGAGTGAGTGAACGAGCTGTGTGGCTGGGTTTAAACCATGACAATTTTGAAAAGAAGTCAAGATTAGTTAAAAATGAAATCTTGATTTTCAAGAAATATTGGACTTCTATTAAGCTTAGTTAAGCTGTGCCATCCTTGTCATTAATGCTCTATTTTAGAAAATTACATTTAGAAATGCTTGGCATCCACAGTAGATGTAGGGCAAAGCTAATGCTTTCTGAAATCAGAAGAAATAATATCTAACTCATAGAAATTTCCTTCAGACTGACACATTCGCAATGCAAATTTTAAAGTTTCCCTTTTTTCTTTAATTTCAGTTTTACATTAAAAAGGCCAAGGTTTCCAGGTTTTCTTTATTCATTATAAGGAAATAATAATTGTTAAGTTCAGAGGTTAAACTCAAGTTTCTAAAAAAAAAAATTACATTTGTAGGAATACTTTGGGCTTTTACATTTCTAATGTATGTCAGAAAAAGAGTCAATCGCATATACTTCCATTTTTTTAAACTCTTATGTTACAATTTCAGCATTTATAGTGCTTGAGGCTTCATTCCAACAGAGCTAACTTTTCCATGCACTTTTACAAATATATCACACACCTAGGGATTACTTCTTTAAGTGTTGGAATGCTGTTAAGTGAAGTTAAATATACTATTTCAGTTGAGCAATAAATGTCACCTTATTTTAGTACTCTGTTCATGTTAGCGTAAAACAGTCATCTATGACCGCTCAATTAATAATGCATAAAAGCAATGATGTGTCACAGAACTGGAGTTTTGATATGAGCACATAATGCTTTTAACGTGGCATCTTACTCTAAGTACAGGGAGCACCCTTCATTCTCAAAGAAATTGTGAAGCTGCATTTGATTTCAGCACCTTGAAAGACTGATCTGTAAATGAGCAACACAAATATACTCACCTGTTCCATCATCTACATTCTCTACCTCCATCACTTCTGTGTTTATTCTGCCCCGAAAAAGGTAACGGTGGCCATCTGTAGATGCTTTGCTGTTCTTCAATCGCCTGATAAAAGTGCAAATGAGCATGTCACCACTTTTTTCTATGTTTCTGCATTATGACCTGTACATGCAGCATTTAAAGACTACAGTAAGAATCTCAATACATTTATACAAGTGCTGTTGAACTGTGGAAACCACTGCTGAATGAGACACTGCTGATGCTAATGCAAAGATCCTACGAGTAATCAGCGAATTGCTGGCTGACACGAGAGTTTATCAGGAAAGTCTCACTCTACACAAGCTCTGTTCCAACACTTTGGTACCTGTATGCCACTGTCTGCCATCAAGATCTATCCTTTAACAGGCACATAAAAACAGCCAAGCCACAGCACTGATCAAAACAAATGGATATTATAGGTGCAGAGAAATACATCTGTTACCTGGATGCTACAGATAATCCAGGGCACTGTTAAAACACAGCTGGAAAAACAGGATGAAAGTTGGCTATCAAATCTGGAACTACCTTGGAAAATCTTAAGCACTTGCACTATTCTGATGGACATGGCTGTGGTGATGACAGTAGAACCTGGATTTATGAAGCAACAGTTTCAGCAACTGCAGACAGTTTCCTAAACTGGACACTGAGGTCAAAGGTGGAGTTTCCTCTGACACCATCCACAACTGTGCAGAAGCAAAGGCAAAGATAATGGTACTCAGCAGTGCTACTAGAGAGAATACTCAAAGTCTATCACATACTGGGAATCTATCAAGGATCTATCTAGTTATATGTATTCCTGGCTATTCAAAACCAGCTTCTGGACCAGAGAGACAACCTTAACAGTTTCAAGAGGGATGCCTGTATTCAAGAAAACCTCTTTTCCTGAGAAGCATAAGAGCACTGAACAGTAACTGCAGAAGCTTGTTGCTACACTGTGGAATTGTTTCTTGCAATGCAGGAAGCAGCAGCTTTCTGGCCGTTTTCCCTGATTAGAAATACAAGGCTTGAAACTCTCAAATCTGTAGAGACTTGTTTTATAACATAAGCTACAATGCTAATTTGTTTGAACTAAAAATTCATTTTGTTTACCATTCCCAGAAGAGAGTGAGTCCATCACATATAATTTGTTGCAGAAGACTGGCAAAACTGATTCTTTCTCCCCACACTTCACCATTTGGATTTTGTATTTGTATAACTTTTTTTTTCCCAATGTTTGAATTAAACACACTTCTCTTTGAATGGTAAATCTCCTCTAAAAATGCTGATTTTCATATTGCAATTAACTGCAGTACACACTGTGGTGATAATAAAATATTCTGATGAAAAAGCATACAGAGGATTAGCTCTAACGTGAGAAAAATGTATTATTTCTGAAAGCATAAATTAATCATTTACCTGTGCTTTTTTTTGCAGTAAACCAAAAGGTTGTCAAAAAGAAAAAATATCCTCTCTTGGATATTTCCTGCTGAAATTTTCAATAGTAGTCCACTTCGTAGCATTTCTGTGCACGTATCTGTGATGTTGGACCCCTAAAATCAATTGGGAAAAGATTATTTTTTATTCTGTGAGAACTGAAGAACTCCACACCGATTAAGGGAAAGTTTCCTATATAAACTCACAGCCATAATGATTCTCTGGAAACACCAAGAATAAAACTCATGGCAATTTATTACGTTATAATTAAATAGTGATTTCCAATGATGCTTAACACCAGTTTTGTACTCATTTAGGACTGCCACAAACTAGAGGGTTCGTGGCTTTTTTTTGAATGGATTAAGTTTTATCACCAAGGTTTCCAAATTACATCTGGGTGGTGAGATTCCCCCCTAAAAATCAGGCCAGCGTCATACAATAATTCTTATCCTCCGTAACTTCACTATTTAGTCAGAAACATCTGAAAATGGGGCTTTACAAGACATGATCTATGCCAAGATGAGCCTGGAAGCCAAAGCCACATGGAATCTGAATATCATTAAGATATATACTTCTACACTAAGCTAAGCTAACTACTAAATCAAATACACCAAGATTTAAAACTCAGACAAAGCTAACAGTGGCACATACAACTAAGACCGCCTAGTGTAGTTCTTCCTAACATATACTGAAGACACTGGAATTTCGCTAAGCTTTATCTGTTTGGGATGAAACTTCCCATGCCTCATTTTTGATTCAAGGCAGATCATTCATTCATATTGAAAGAAGGCAGGCATTTTCATATAGGTTAATGAAAAAGAAGCAACTTTAACAAAGGATTACATTTTCTAAAAATATTCCTCTGAAAAGTCATGGTATTTCTACGCCATATAAAGAAAAATTTACCTCTCAAGGAAGCCTTCCTTGAACTCAAGAGGTGTATTTTGCAATTCTGAATATCCATGCTCCTGTGGGACAAAGTTCCTGTCCATGCACTGCATGAGTCCAGCTATGCAATCCTATTGATAATCATGCTTGCTGGCTGCATTGAGCATACACATTAAGCTCAAAGAGTTTCCTAACTTGAGGCAGTCAACAGTCAGCTTGGAAAACCTGTAAAAGCCAGGACTATCATCTACACATGTTCTGAAAGACTTATGCCTGCAATAGCTGTAGTTACTTCCTCTTTTTTATCCAACCACAGTAGCCCAAAGAAAAATAGGCTCAATTAAGAGCCAAGAAGGAATCACGGGTTCTGCTCTCAGCTCTTCATCCTATTATTCATCCTTTTTGTGTCACAGCCCTGAATACCGAGCAATAGCTCAGACTGCTCTAAGGAGAACGGAGTCTGTTTACAGAAATGATAAGAAAAACTGCAGAACCATCACACTGGAACATCATTCAGGTCTCTAAATAGAGTAGCTTCAGCATCAGTATTAACTAACCACTCTTGTTTCCATTTAGGATCAAATGAGCCAAAAATGAACATCATCTATAGCCAATACATCATACTTCCCTTCCTAGGACAGCAACAGCACCAGAAGCTGACATACTAATTTTACAGTTTTATTTGAGAGCAACTGCTGAAACACCTTAAAAGCGTACTCAGTAAAACAAATTCAGCATAAATTTCAGCTGCACTTAATGCTTGCTGACCACAACTACAGAAAAGCAGTTTTTTTCATTCCATCCATTTCATTGCTTTTGTGCATTAAGTAGAATAAACACTACCACACACTGCTTTTAAAATTAGCTGGAATATTGCTAATGATTTGCATTTTAAAAGGCTGGGTATTTTTTAAAGATTTTCAGTTTGTTTTTACAGAAAATTTCAGCTTTGCTGGAAAATTGTAATCTTTTGTAGGGAAGACAAAAAACTTCAGCTTAAGGCTTCAAAATTGTATCAGCAGTTTCAGTTTTCTACAAAAGGGTGTATTTTTTCACAGAGGGTTTTATGAAAAAATGTTGACTCTTTTTATTTGAAGTGCTCATTTTCACTGTAGAAAAATACCTTTTCCCCACAGCCCTTGCCAGATTTGCTACTGTGCCAGCACCATGTCATAAAATACCATATTTTATACATATTTCAAACATCTGTAATTCAGGCTACTCGAATTATCAAGATTCACCTCAATCATGATTCAAGTTCAGCATTACAATACAGCAGTGTGTATTATCTGCATCACATTGCTACACTTTGCTGTTGTTTTCCTCTTTATTTTCCTTCTGCCAGATAATGAAAATAACATTCTAGAGGTACTTTTTTCCCTTCATAGACCTCCTGTCCAAATACTGAACAGTGTTCACTTATTCAATACTTTTTGACAAGATCACAACCCATGCTGGTGTGGCCACAGGTCAGTGATTTTTGTTATTGCTGTTTTATTTGCTGAAGTCCAAGGGTATAAGGTAAGACGATCATAAGTCACATCTGGCAGTCCTACGTAACGCTGGTAGCGCAGAAAAGTCCCCTGCCACCCTCTTGCCTATGGAAAACTGTTAGACTCAGCCTGTCCCTAGACATGGGTGGGGTGGGCATGGAGCTGACAAGGAGAAAAGAGGAAGGGCATATCATGTGAAAGCACTGCTGTCTGTACACGTCCTCTCTATCAACTCCTGAGGGATGAAAAACATGCCCGAAGAAGAATAGGGTAGAGGGCACACAAACACTGCCATATCCATCATGCAGTTCCAAGGAGGACTAACAACTATTAATGTTTTCATGAAAGATATTGCTATACCTTGAACCTCCACATGGGTTTACACCAAGCTATAGTTGATGTCCAGCCCAGTAGGATAATTCATTTATCTAACTCTGAGCTACCCCTCTCATAGTAGAAAGTTCAAGGCTACACTAACAGAGGAGAAGTCACCTTGTCCCAGAAGCACAAGGCTAAAATTGAACTACACTATCTACAAGCAATACTTTTGGAAACCAGTATTACCAAAAACATCTAACACAACCATGTTTTCATTAAATGTTTGTATTGAAACTACCACGGAAATGTCAAATATAAGCAATTTGAACCTGAAAAATAATTTGCTATTTCAAAGTTTTCATAAGCATGTACATTTTTTACTCAGTGCTTGCAAGGGAAGATCATATAGTTGCTCAACCTAAATGTAAAATCACTACTACTATGCTACAATTCATGTTTCTATGCATTTAAAGTACCTGCAATTAGAGCTGATGGAGTATTATGAGTGAAACCAGCCTTTTTGTAATATGTCAATTTGAAAATGCCTTGTATTATAGAAAGAAACCTGTTTTGATCATCTTAAAAAAAATAAAAAATCCAACAACAAAACCCCAAAACAAAACAAAAAACCCAACATATAAAAGACTCAGTTGGAAAAATCTAACCTGCAAACCAGGTTTATACTATGAATCTAGACTATATTTTCCTCCCCCTATCCTAATGAGTCACTGAAGACTGCAAGATTCCAAATACCTAGCTGTAGAGCAGTCCTCTACTGTGGACAGCATTGGGATCAAGGGCTCTAGTTTTTCAGGCTACCTGGTGTGGAAATTAAAAGCCTAAGATCTCAGAGCCTTCAGGCTACTTAGGTAAAACTGGCTTCAGCTGCCATTCGGTCACCTATCATTCCACCAAGGCAAAAGCTCAGTCAAGAGGTCTGAAATGTTGGCTACCGTGACTACATCACAAAGTAAATGCATTTAAAATGCACTGGAAGGAGAGAGACTGTATGCAAGAAATCTGCAACAATATCCCCACTCATCCTTTAGCCATGAAATACCCATCTTTGACATCAAAAAATGGCCTTTATTACCTTGAAATGAAAAGCAGCATTTGTTGGTTTCATTTTGTAACAACAGCTACTTAGCTACATATTCTGGCCACATCAGTCAAACATGAAAGTCTGACCATACTGACTCAATGGCGAGCACATTAACAGTGATAAAAGTCAGAAATTACATATATTAATGTACTCTTCAGTACTTGCACATGGGCACAGGAAAGAGAAATATAATAGAGAAAAGGTCTAAAATACCTAGAATTTAAAACAGAAATCTCCATTAAAATACTACTTTATGATATAGCACAATGGAAAGGAACAGAACACCCCATGCTATTGTCACTAAGTTGGCCTGTGACTCAGACTGGGTTGTTCAGTTTCCAGCTTACAACAAATGCAACAATTTTATTTTTTAATTCCCTCACTGAAACATCCACGCAGATTTTCCTGACAGACTCCTTCAGCTGTTGAGCCATTCTCCAGCTGAGACAGCCACCTACACAAGTTCTGAATTCAGGCCAATAAATTTAACCACTTAGGAAATTAAGTGAGAAAGTCATTATACTCAAAATTTTCTTCCTTGAAACAGATGTTCCATTTTTCCGTGAATCTGTATTTTTATCATAATAAACACAAGCTTCATTTTATGACACTCATGTATAGGAATTTAAGTCATGCTTTGATCAGATTCTAAAAATAGTCTTTTTTTTTTTTTTTTCCCCTTTCCTTCTAGTTGGGGCCAAGCAATGTGCTAAGCATTTCCTTCTGGAAGGAAATCTCCAACAAGTTTGCCTCTTTATTTTTAGGCAATGCAGAAAACCAGATGTTTATTTAATCAAATCCACTCTCATACATTGCATTCAGAGATTTTCTTGCAGTTGTTGTTGGGAATCATTCAGAAAAGCTCTAAAACATGCTCTTATACATGATTTTTACCATTTCAAGGACTAACCATATAGTATGTTTGAGAAAGGATGCGCATATTAAGATCAGGGCAGCCCTGTGGTTGCCATGTGGTAACATCAAACCTGATCAGCTAAACCACATTAAACACAACATAACTGTACTGAATAAATTCTATTTTAAGACAATGGCACTTTTCCAGGGATCAAGCAGAAGCGAAATCCTAAGATTAAATTTGGGGAAGAAAATAGGAAAAAACAAACAAACAAGGTCGGAAGGAAATTACTGTATTACAGTTCACAGAATACGTTCTGAATACAGAGCATAAATCTATGTTTCATACACTTCTGTCTATATTGTTACCCTTCCTTATTGTTACTTTTGCTCATTAATATATTTCCAACAGCAAACATATTTATTACTCCGTGTTTTATTAAGAATTCAGAAAAAAATGAATGCAGAAAAGTGCATTCCCTTTATGGAAATGTGAGAACGATATGTTCTTAACCGACTTATGAGACTAATAACACATTGAGATAGTAATGCTGTAACTTTATATTTGAGTGTGTTCATCAATATGAATTTGAGAAATATCTGTAAGACTCAGGCACTGAAAGCAAGTAGAAGAATCTTAATCAGTACGGCACAACAGAAAACTTACTTGAAAGTTGAAAATAATAGTAGAGTCAGTTATAGACAGTATTATTTTAAAATTTCCTTGCCATATAAAATTTAGTAATGTAAATGCCCGCTATTGCTTCTATCATTAAGTTATTGTACAAACATGTTAAAGTTCACATACACTAATCTTTCCAAGTTAACTGTTGATGACAGCAAGTTCAAGCTAACAACAAAAAAGGAACTTACTTTCACCTAGTCTAAATAAGCAGCTGTTAAGGTATTTGGTTCTTTTGGAAAGTGTTAGGTCAACAAGACCTCCTCTCAATTACAGTGTTTAGAGTTTTACTTTATTTAAGTAGTCCTGTGTATTACGTTCAAAACTGACTTATTAAAAAATTACTTACATTGCTTGCTTTGCATTTCTTACATATGAACTTCACTCCCACCTCAGTGTGGGCAGCTAAGATGTTTCAATACAAAACACCTAAGGCAAATCAAATATATACAAATAGGACTTGTTGGTGTCGGTTGATGAGAAAATGAACATGAGCTGGCTTCAGTGTGCACTCGCAACCCAGAAAGCCAACCATATCCTGGGCTCCATCAAAAGGAGCGTGACCAGCAGGTCGAAGGAGGTGATCCTGCCCCTCTACTCTGCTCTTGTGAGACCTCACTTGGAGTATTGTGTGCAGTTCTGGTGTCCTCAACATAAAAGGGACATGGAACTGTTGGAACAAGTCCAGAGGAGGGCCACGAGGATGATCAGGGCACTGGAGCACCTCCCGTATGAAGACGGGCTGAGAAAGTTGGGGCTGTTCAGCCTGGAGAAGAGAAGGCTGCGTGGAGACCTCATAGCAGCCTTCCAGTACCTAAAGGGGGCCTATAGGAATGCTGGGGAGGGACTCTTCATTAGGGACTGTAGTGGCAGGACAAGGGGTAATGGATTAAAACTTAAAACAGCAGAAGCTTAGATTGGATATAAGGAAGAAATTCTGTCCTGTTAGGGTGGTGAGGCACTGGAATGGGCTGCCCAAGGAAGCTGTGAAGGCTCCATCCCTGGAGGTGTTCAAGGCCAAGCTGGACAGAGCCTTGGGTGACATAGTTTAGTATGAGTTGTCGCTCCCATGGCACATGGGTTGGAACTAGATGATCTTAAGGTCCTTTCCAAACCGAAACATTATATGATTCCATTATATGGTCCACATTTATCTTTCTGTATAAACTAATAATAGTGCTCAAAATAATACAACAGGAAGATTCTGGTGCTACAACTACTTGATCTTGAAGTTGCCTAAGGGAAATGGTGGCTCTTCTGGATACTACTGAAAACACTAACTCAGAAATAGACCTATGGTTTCTTCACAGAACTAAAGCATTAAATTTCTTCCATTTGAAAACTGAAATAAATAAAACCAAAACCAAGTCTTACACACATTCTCTTGAACACATGTTAGTTTAACTTGGCCAACAGTGAAGAACTATCTACAAGCTGACAAACACGGACTTAGTGCTTAATCAAAATAAGTAGCTGTTTTTTTTTCAACCACATAAAATGCTTTAGGCAGGAATTGACAGCAGTAAAATCAAGGCAACAGTTAAATTAGGATTTATAGATGTGCATGTGTGCACATAAACATGTTAATGTAAAAGGTCAATATTCCAAGTTAAACACCAAACACTGCCTGCTGTCCTGGAAGTCTGCTATTTTGTACAGTGGTGCTCAGTCATGGACAACACTGAATTTGCAAAACAGAACCCAAATGAAAGCTGTGTTTCACAGCACTGAGGAGCTGACAGTACCTCAGGCTCACAAAACCAGTGCGACATATGTTTGTTGAAAATTTTTATTCCCTCATCAATACACAAAGCAACAAATCTACAACAGTACCTCCCATCCTTCCACATGAGACTGCCATTCTTCCAAAACCTCTAATTTCTCCATTTGTCTCTTGGCTTCATTTATGTTGGAACAGACAGCTTTCATGGCCTGGAGGGCTTCCATTAGTGCTGCATAGTCACTGTGCTTCCTTGGAGTCCGCTTCAGTAACTCCTATTTAGACATATAAAAAAAAAGAAAAGAAAAAAAGAAAAGAAAAAAGGAAACCTGTCTTTGATCTCTACATGTACATTACAGGATGCTTAAATTGAATAGCATACAAAAATGAAGAAGTAGCCAGACCTCTATGTTACGAAGTGGAAAAATAATAAACCCTCCAGCATTGTGTTCTAGTAGGACACTAAAACTCAAAGAAATAAATTACTAACAGCAAAAATAATCAGTACTTTGGAATTAGTACTTAGTTTGCCTTTCAGCTACTTTCTCACCCCAGCAATGTTTCTTCATGTTGAGCTTCGGTTTGGGATTTGATTTTTTTGGTTGTTGGTCTTTTGGGGTTTTTTTTATATGCCACAGGATGGAACTGTTCAACAATAACAATTCTGCTTAAAAATGCTGGTTTATTCATGTCAAAGTTAGCACTTGCCTCTCCTGCAACTCCGGGTAAAGCCCATCTTCCTTTAGCTTCACACTATTTTTTAATCTAGTGCAATATGCCAGAGCACTGAACAGTATCTTAGGTGATTCACCGATTTCAGGTGCTTACTGGTAATGGCAGCCACACTAAAACACAGAAGTGGAGTTGCCAGTATTCATTTGAGATTTCCCATCTCAAACTACCAACTGCCTGTTTACAGCTGGACTGACTATGGACAGCCTTCAGCACACACCCTGACTGAGATACAGGTACGAGCTCTAAGGCTGCTGCCACCACACCCTGTATTTAAATTTATTTAACATAAGTATTTCCATTTCATTGTTCCCTAGAGTAATTCATTAGTCATTTTTCCCTGTTCATCTGTAGATCCTTCATTCAAAAAAAAGAATATAATTTTAGAATAGGCCAAGGGAACTGTAAAACCACAGATATCTGGAATGAATCAAACCTCAATGCAATTATCATATTCTTTAACTTGTTTTAAAAACCTTTCTTTGAACATGTTTACTTTAAAGTTTTTATGTCAGTGCAATGAAATTCATATGGCTCATAGCTGGCATTGTTTCAGATCTAAATTCACACATGCAATGTGAAAAACACTGTTCAGTAATCAGGTTTCAGGCAGGTTCTAGAGCAAAATCTGCTCCGGTTTCTCTTTCGCTGTTTGAAACAATAAACAATATTAAGCCTCCATTTGTTAAGCAAAAAATTGTTTTAAATATTTACTGTTATGACGATTGTATTACTTTGTTTCCTAACATGTAAAAAAAAAAAAAAAAAAAAAAAAAAAAATCAGTAACTCAGTTTTTCATATCTAATGATTATCAGCACATTTAACATTTTTAAGTTTTAAATTGTAACAATAATAAAAGAATAAACATAGAAATGTGCATAGAATCACCTACACCATTACTCTAGAGCTTTCTTACAAATAATTTTCATAAATATTTTTCAGTTACAGTTTGCTGACGGTAAATTAGACCCATCAAAGCATGTCACTAACAACTCTGCTAGCCCAAGCATTTTAGACAAGACCATGGTCAAACCCAGCTGAAATCAGTCTCATTATACTCCCTTTAAATGGCTCACTTCTATTCCAACAATTGAGAGGCAACTTTACAATCAGATGCAGAAGGAAGCTAATCACCCTGACCCAGCCAAACTCCTCAGTTCTTTTTAATACTGATGTCAGAAAACCTGCCACTAGCTTTAATGAGAGCATGTCTGGGTCCAATATCTAATAAAGAGATTATTCACTGTGTAGAGAGATTGTTCCTGCTGTTCGGAAATATGTTTAGCAACCAGTTTTATACAGAAAGTTTAAGGTCCTAGATAAAAAAAAACTTGAAATACCTTCAAAAGAAGGGGATACTTGCATATTCTCTGTATTGGTGTTACCAGATATCCCTCCAACGGTACATCTGTGTTCTTGCGTCCTCCAAGAAGCATGCAATTCTAGAGTGAGAACAGTTTCATAAATTACTAAAAAATACAAGAAAATGATGAGAAATAAAGACAAGGGCATATGTACACAGCAATATTGGCTAAGCTGTAAGTAATAAGGGAGTTATGCAAGACTGACAAAAGAACAGGCTTGAACACATGCGCAGGCACGTACTCTATCATACAAAGAAACCACAACGGACTTAGGCAGGCATCTCCCCTAGGTACCTTCTTCATAGAGCCTGATAAAGCGAGGCCAGCTTTAAAGTTTAAAAATGAAAGACAGTGAATAAAATGCCAAAAATATGCTTTCATACTTCAACAAACAAAAATAAAAATCATTCAGGGTGACTACTCTAGGTGCTGTTGCTTCTAAAAGATGTGTTTGTAATATTAAGTAGCATCAAAGATGGTTTGGAAGGCTTGAACCTGGCCATCCTATACACACCCACCAAAAAAGTGTTCTGTTTACATGCTTCTATAGTTAAACGTGATGGGCAACAAACAAAATGCCCTTAGTCATGGGCTAAAAAAATATATAAATTTTCCCAAGACACCCAACTATGGAAGCAGAGAATACATGAAATATTGGGTGGAAGCACCCATGAAAAAGCAGCAGAGAGAAAGAGAGAAAAGAATAAGGGGTATCTGGCATAACAAAGCATGCAAGGGACATCACCGCAAATATTTGGAATTGCTGTAATTAAAGTGTAAGTACATAAAGACCTAAGGATGAAAGCTATTTTACTGAGAGATAAGAAGGAATTGTGATGCAATGGTATGATATAATCTACAGCTTCAAAGTGCAAGATGTCTAAACTGAGACAGCAACTGCTAAACAAAAGTAATTTAACAGAGCCAGATGGTGTGTTGACACAGGCCACAAATGTGGATGCAGATATGTTGTTGATAGAACAGGGGCTACAAAACTGGGTGGCTGCTCCCAACGTACAACTCACAATGTACATACCCCATAACCAGTGCTGCTATGGGGATCTCTACACCCACCCTTAAATCTCTGCCTTGCACTCACAGTTAACCAGCTTCTGTCCCATACTAAAGGATCCTTTATCCCAAAGGATCTCACTTAAATCTGCCAACTAAAAAGCTTTACTGATAAAGGACTGAGCAAGATAATGACAATGCAGACTATAGGTTTATATAATCACTGTCTCTATACCTGAAGGCTCACAAGTCTAGTTTCAGCTCCCCATTATTTATAATAATGACAATCTCTAATGACCCAAACTGTTCTGTCTAGAAAGCTTCAACTGTATAAGACAGTTATCACACAGTCAGACCTCCTGTTTTCCAGGTTAGACTGATGCCACTTATTCTACAGCCACATCTTGAATCTATGAGAAAGCCAAAGCAGATGTGAAAGCCCTGTGCGTGAGCCCGGGAGTACATAACAGTGACACATCATGAACTGCCCACAACTGCACACCTCACTTCCTTTCTCATAAAACATGCTTTTTGCAGTCTTTCTCCAGAGTATTTTGCTCTGTAGCAAATGTCTCTGTAGGCAGCATTCACTCCTTCTTGAGTCTGGCCATGCTGCTCCCAATACAAGAACTACGTGTGTGAAGCTCCCCAGTCTGGGGCAAGATACTGTGTCAACCACTGAGGAAAAACAGGACAACTTTGAATCTCTTTTCAGCTATGAATGGAACACTGATAAGTAAGAGACTCTTAGCAAAAAGGCAGATGGCATTTCATGTCACTCCATACTCTCCTACAATAAAGAAATTCACACGCTGCTCATTAATTTGGGTGTCAGTAAAGGCAGCTAGGGACTCAGATCCAGTATCTTTCAAAAAATGCAGTGACCTGCAACAGGTTGACTTCACCAAGAACTCTGTCAGCAGCAGTGAAAGCCTACTGCATGCTAAAAATAAATGAAATTAAGTAAAACTTGTGATACTGCCACCACTGGCCATCACCTTTTACTTCCACCATATCTGTGATGCTTTGCTCTCCAGTCCCAAAATGCAAGAACTGGATCTGATTACTATGAATCTGGTATCTTATCCATGGGCACCATCTCAGGTATTTAAGTTCCAATATAGCAGGAATAATGTGGGCATTACAAAGCTGACTTTTGTTATCACAGGACATCGGGAAGAAAAAACACAAAAATCATTCCACCCTGAATCCTTCTTTTAACAACTAATGTTAACTATTAGGAAACTCAGTATTTACATAGAAACTGGTTTTGCTGTAAGAAAATCATGAGGACTGTCATACTCGCAATTAAAAAGGCCTCCCTATTTGTTTTATAAAGTGAAAAACTAATTGTGTTGCTGTCTATATTGACCTCAGATTAAGTCAGCATCTAAGCTCAGGATGTTTACTCTATGAAACATTTTTCTGCCTGGCAATGGTGTTACAGTACCAGAAAATGGACCTTCTCTTCAGAAGTTCTGATGAGTCCTTCAGCTTCTTTTCCACAATTTCCTTCCCTATCCCTCTTCATCTATCTTTTCTTATTTTTTTTGCTTTTTACAGACACAGCTGGATTTACACACTTGTCTCTTGGCCAGCAAGTTCAAGGCACACTGCCTAATGCTTTGTTATGCACAGATCCAATGCAGCAGTGAAAATATGATGTACACAACCCCTTCCTCTGGAAACACCACCCCCAACTGAAACTGTCTGCAAACCACTTGCGGGTGTGCTTGTTACATGGTGGAGGTGACAGCAGTAACAATCCACTGCCCAGTCACAAAGTACTAAGTTAATCAACAGTTGAAAGTTTATTTACCAAAAGAAAGGTCCGCACTGTTCTTATTTTGTTAAGGTCAAGGAGAACTTTCTGCGCCTTCTCATGATTACTGCAATATTCATCATAAATACGGAATTTTTCTTTCTGCAGAAACAAAGAAATACATTGTTCTTCACTTGCCATTTTGAGACTTTTTTTAATTAATGAAACATGAACAAGATGAATAGCTAATATAGTCTTCACTTTGGAAGGTCAGCTCTTTCTTCTACATTTATTATTTGACATCCAGTCTCAAACTAGAATTATGAACAGTCTGGAAGCATCACTTGGGAATTTCAGTCATAGAACACCAGGTTGAAAGGGACCTCAGGGACCATTTGGTCCAACCTTTCTTGGCAAAAGCACCGTCTAGACAAGATGGCCCAGCACCCTGCCCAGCCAAATCATAAAGCGTCCAATGCTGGGGAATCTGCTGCTTCCCTGGGGAGATTATTCCAATGGCTGATTGTTCTCATCATGAAAAGTTTTCCTCTTGTGTCAAACCGTAATCCCCCCAGGATTACCTTGTACCATCACGACTCACGTCTTCCATGTGACTCCTTGTGAAAAGGAGAAACCCGGGGAGAAAATAGAGAGAGTGGCTTATTTGCTGGTATCATTACCTATTTGTCTGCAAACACGTTTGCAAATGCGACCCATACTTTTCCAGTCAAAAACTGATGTTACTCAACTTCTGTAATATGTTTCCACAAACCATTAATCATTTTCTCCTCCCACAACAAATAAACAAAGACTTGGCAAACAAATGGGACTCTAACCAGAGGTAACAATTAAACCTAGACTTTTTGCTAGGCCTATAACTGAAAGCAAACTAAATTGTCCGGATTTTGCAGAGCTCTTTAACACTGACATCCTGTTTTGCTCCAACAGGAAAAATAATACTGAGAGAAAACAATTTCTACAGGACATACAAACATACTTATGGAGGTACTGCAGTTGTCAGAAGTAAAATAACTTCACAGTCCAGAACCATGGAGATATTTTACCCAGCGTATGCAGTTCTTTGTTAGATATTCACATTTTTGCCTAGCATAAAAGGGGAATAAAAAAAAAAAAAAAGCGTATCATTACTTTTGCTGTTTCATGCAACCGTGGTCCTTGTACCTCCAACCCATGCACAGGCACCAGCCTTGCCCACGCTGCAGGGCTGTTTGGCAGCCTGGGCTAATTTGGTGAATATACAGATGATGATACAATAAAATTCTTCCCATTTTATACTTTCCTCATTCTCCTTCCCCCTCCTTTTTTTAAGCTATGCAATCAAGTAATATTTTGTCATCATGACTGAGTACACTCATCACAATGTAATTAATAAAGACAACTAATAAAGGAAAAAAGTGAAATAAGCCTGTAATAGAAGATGGCCTACATAATGAAGAAAGCAGGTTCCAACTTCATGCTGTGCATTAGGTTCTGGCTGCAAGCACTCCTCCACCAGGGAAAGGAAGTTTTTGTGAACTGCAAGAATATCTTCAATATTTGAAAACAACGTCTGCAAAAGAATAAAACACACATAAATAAAACATCAGATAGAAAAACAGAAGAAATATGCAATTATGAGACTAACCTTAACTGTCTCTTCTGTGACATTTTTATCTACTTTGGCTGCAGCACATTGGATCATTCGGTGAAGGAAAGCCTGCATGAAACAAAAGAAATAAGGAAAAGGTTATTTCAGGAAGACTTCAGCTTTTGGCATTTTATGCTTATAATTTGTTTCCCAAATTTCTTCTGCTTTGGATATAAAGCCACATCAGTATATTATTCAGAATCTAAACCAAGTATTTTATTTATAAAGTATTTAGTAGTCCTGTTATCCTAAGATGATATAAAACCCTATCTATATAGTGTTAGAAAGAACTAAATACTGAAACATTAAAGAGGCTGAGAAACTGAACATTCTACCCTAGACATATAATGTAATCAAGCAAGAGCAAAATGAGCCATTTTCAAATTCTTGCTCTAGCACTTTACAAATTGACTACAAGACAAGCAAAAATAAGCCACTAATTTCTAAATTAAAACTACTCAGGACATTCTATTATGAAATGTAACTTCTACCACAGTAACCACACGTTAAGATTTCTGATGTACTAATAATCAAACCTACTGTAAATTAAATTGCCTTAAACAACAGTCAGCTGCACCAGGTTTTGCTTAATGAAAATGTTCGGTCTTTCCTCCCCAAGAGCCTCATTCTTGGAGATCAAATGAGAATTTAGTAACACCACTAATGAAACAGCAAAAGAGTAAGTTCTTATTATATTTCACATTCAAGAATTGGAAACAGCAAGAAGAAAAGATGTACAGTAAGTCATTCCAACAGAAATAAATCACATTTCAGGTACAAAGGATAGAATTCATTTTTATGAATTTATTCCATTACAAAGACTTGGTACATTCTGAAAGTATCTACACACTGGAGACTAAAATCTTACATTGGTAATTATTCACAGACATGCATATTCTTCAGCCATTAAGAACTGGCACCATAAGTGCACAAATGTCATGTGATTCATAACCATTTCGTTTCAAGTCACTGTGCATTGTACGCGGTACACAAACTCATCTAAATTCTGGCATGGTGCAAATTCTGTAAGAAAGGCAATAAATAACGCATATATGGAAGGACAGCAGTCACAGCACCCCTTTTTTATCTCTCTGCTGGGAGTTAAAACATTTTTATTCCCAAGCAGTGATCCTTTCTCTTGTGAACAGAACTATGTAACTGGCATTACACATTTTTATTACTGAAGAGACAAATCTAGTTATCCAGGCCATAAACAGAATTAAGTTTGGATCACTGCCAGCATATTGTATGTTTCATATCACTCTCTACAGCGATGTGGATTTTCTACTTCTTTAACTCCTCTTTTGCCCTGACTATTCATGCTTTCTTTCTAATGTTTTATTGATGGCAAAAGATTGCATTAACTCATTTGCAGCAGTTAACTGTTGATGGATGACAGCTCTTTACATCTTTCCTTGCTATGAATATCCACAGGGGTTATGGCAAATTTGCTGTGCACATTGCCTGCACAGTGTACAGCCAATCCCACATACAGTGAAAGCCTGATTTACTGCATGACTCTTCATTAATTTTTGAAAGTTTACAATAAACCAGCCAACAATATTCAATACACTTCAAAATTGAGATGGGGGGGGGGGGGAATATCACAAGAACTACCTCTGAAACCCGTGTCTGTTTTTACTATCTGTAATCTCTCTTTGTTCACATTATTTCCCCATAGACCAAACAGACTGCTCATCCGCACTCATGTTATCCCAGGAGATCTTCATTTCCTGTAACTGTGAAGGAAGGTGAATATTCAGTTGGCTGAAGGCAAAACTTGAGAACGATCTGGGAGCTGACGCATTAGTTATTCTCAAATGATTCAATACACTAGCCAAGAGTCATGAGGTCAAAAACAGTATATATCAGCTGCAATAAACAAGAGTTATCCAAGCAGCACTGTCCCAGATCCCACATCTGCAGAGATCAGAAACTGAATCCAGGAAAATCCAAACTCTTGCAGAACCCAGATACAAGTCACTAATTAAGGCAGGGAGACCTAGGGCAAATTCAGCCCCTTCCAGCAACTTTGCACAAGTCCTTATATGGTTTCTGTACCCATGTTGCTGAAGTAGTGTAGTCATGATGCCAGTCATTTCTAAAGATTTGCCACTTGTCATCCCTATCAATGCACATTTGCTTCCTGAAAAAATCATAACATTATGCCCCACAAATCAACAGATGCAATCATGTGAATCTTTCAGAGCACTTACATGAACACTACGAAGCCACACATATCTCAAATTAACTGGAATAATCTCACATTTTCAAGAGGACTGATGTAGGAGAATCCAGGGGAGTGCAGGCAGGCATGGAGCTGCCTACTTCTATCCACCTCCCACCAAGACCCTCCTTGGTGGACTTCACCTGCTGCAGAGTGAGTAATGCAAAGCAACAATGAAGCCCAGGTTTCCACAATGAAAACGCCATTACCAACGCCATTACCAACTCCCTGTCCCTTCCAACAGACACCACTAACTCCCCACACACACGCAACAACTCTACTCTGGGACTTCGCTAGAGAGAACAGATGGCAGTCATCCGGCAGGAGAATGGAGAAGTAACTGCTTTTGTTACAGTGTTAAATAACTTTAATCCAGCACTGTGTCTATGGAAAAGTAAAGTCTCTGAATCTGTATGAATACACAGTAGGTCTGACAGAGAGATGACGACTCAAAAGACTTCAGAATTATTTGAACAACAACTGAGAACAACTAAAAACAGTTCTTCTTCAAAAACTGATCAACCAAAAGCAAGTCATTTGTAGACACAGCTTTAAGGAGGACCCCAACAAAGAAATCACAGACTTTAAAAGGAAAATATATACGGATGCCCAGGAACTACTCGGGAGCTGACAGCTGCTAAGCTAACAGAAAAGAAGTTTAGAGACCCTTTTGAAGATACACCACAGAAACTTACTAGCCATAGAAAAAAACAAACCTGTAAAAAAAATGAAAGAACAATTAAATGGACATCTCAGCCAATTTACAATTCAGTAAAGACCTGGACACACAAAAACAAGTCAGAAACTCCTCTGAAATAACACTGAATGGTTTATAAAAATTCTACCATGACTTTAAGTTGAAGTCCAGACTCATTACTGAGCATGGCATTACATGAAGGAGCAAAGCATTACAAATTACAAGAGCACAGCTGAATAACCCCTGCTGCTGAACTGTGAAAAGAACTGTAGCAATCAATTGGGTCCATGATTCCTATGCTCAAACTTAGTGCTATTTTATTAACCACGCACACATCAGTAAATTGTGATTCATATTTGTCTCCTGGAGTATACTTCATGTCTTGCTGAGGTTACTTCCAGATTCATCTACATTACTGTAGATGTTTTTTAGCACAACATCAAGCATAGAGAATAACACGAATTTCTGTGCACTCCACGATTTCAGGCCTTTGTCACCTAGACGGTGATCCTCAACTTTCTTAAAACTTTTCAGGTAGATTCTGGAGTTTCCCTTAACTTCAGTCTTTAGTTTTCTCAAGTAATAGCAAAGCCATATGGTTTAAACATAATTTTCTAACTTTTCATCTTGTGCTAGTAGCATTCTACTTACATTTGTATAATACAGGGATTCACCCTTGCAGCACTGCAGATGGAGATATGCGGCCCCTGGCACTCTCTGCCAGCTAGACTCTTGCTGACTTCTCTTTCAAGAGATCTCTATAAAACATTTCAGAGGAGCAAGTTGGCTGGGCACTACAAAGAGCAGGCTAAATTTAAAAGATGAGGAGGAAAGATAAAAGGGAGGATGTTTACATTTAAAAAACTAAATAATCTAGTTTCACTTGACAATTTTTAGAACTTTCTATGGAAAAGTTTGTCACTCCAGGCATATCCTTGAGTCACTCTGATTGCTACAATCTCTGCCTCCGCAAAGTCTGAAATTCAAATTACAAACCCCAAGCATCCTTCTGGAAACTTTGTTAACAGAAAATGGCATCTAAATGATCAGTGTACAGCTGCTTTGGAAGAGAAGAAATGGCAAAAAAGCTGAGAAAACTCTAAACATGAAGAGGAGTTTGAAGATCTTTAGAAGTCTGACGAACTTGCAGACCAAAACATAAGGCATCAACTGAGCCTTTGGAATAGAGGAGCAGCTACGCGTAAAATATGCAAGATAACAGTTTAGGGTTAAGATTCCCTAACTCTACTCAGGTCCTAATGGGGACATAAAACCTGTTTCTGGCTATGACTCAGGGTCTTCGCACCAAACTGGTAAGGAGAAGGGTAATTCACCTCTACCTTTCAGAAACATGGCAAAGAATTGCACAGAACATCTGAAGAAGATGCCATTCTAATAATATCAATGAAGATAACATCTTTTTCTTCATTATTGTGTATTTATTACCTGCAAAATACTTTTTAAGTACTTTCTGTGTTAGTCCCTGTTCTAACTCTTTCACCCTTTGCCTTACACAGCTGTGACACACTATAGGAAACACCAAGACCAAAAATACAAATATAAAGACTGAAATTCCAAATTCAAAGAATTATAAATGAATTTGTTCCTTATGCCAAGCGAAAACTAATGTGTTTCCCGTCTGTTGATCTGCTGCCATTTTGCACGGCAGGATATTTCAACAGAGAACGCACAACAAGTTCCTGTTATGGGGATTTTACTTCTGGTCTTCTCGAAACAAGAGTGGGGTTGTTCAGTTGTCTGGTGGGTGGGTTTTTTCCTTCCATAGTTGCTCTGTGTGTTGCTCAGAAGAAAAACAAAACAGAGCAAACAAAAAAAAAAAAACAATCCACACCGGTACAGACAGCACAAGAAGCTGCCAACAGCACAAATTACTTTTCTGACATCTGGAATCAAATCAGGGAAGACAAAGAAGTCTGCCTGCAGAAGATTCCGAGAGCATGAAGGGTTTTCAACTTCTTGACAGCTAAGAAATTATGTCCTGAAATTATGTCAGGGCACCTAGTTCACAAAACACACGTAACTCTTTTTCCTGAAAGCAATCATCCTACTTTTGGGAGCCTCGAAAGAAATATGCTTTTTTTGGCTAGAAAAAAGAATTAAAGAACAAGTTACTTACCTTACCCC